ATACCTGTGTAATAGTCAAGAGTGGAAGTTTTTGATGCCATATTTTAAGTATGAGAAACACCTCAGACTGTGGAATAGTCAAGATATTGCTCGACTATTCCACAGTTTTCGGTGTTTCTCCTATACTTACGGGATTCTAGTCCTGTATGGTTTAATTCCTCTGTGAATCTCGGATACCGTGGATGGGTTACGATTCAACTTCTACACAGGTGACGCAACTCAACTCGTGATATTTGTACAGGATGTAGTTTGTTCTGGCTCGCCTGGATGTTTGGCATTTTGGGCTCTTCACAAACACACAGAAGACCTAGAATGTTTAGCTAATAACCAAATTGTTTAGTAACTGTGCGAGACGTTTTAACTGGAAAAACGCAACCGTTTGCGACCAATTTAAAGGCATAGTATATGCTCCAAAAGGGAATATGATAATAATAAAGTAAAAATAAAAAGTTTATCAAATGTTGAAATTTTACACTAAAATAAAAAGTTATTAGAGAACTGCCCTCCTTGATTGTTGACCTATCTATATCTTTACTTTGACAGGAAATGAAACATCAAAATGGAAACCACATGTGGTGCAGGACATGGTGAACCTTCCGGTAGAATTTTGAACCTCTTTCTGTTCTTGTACCTTCTCTGAGGAAATTCTTCTGTGTTGTCTAATTTTATGCACTTATGATTATAAACATTTTTTTCCTTTTAACATTGACAATGTGTTAAAAGTGGTCCTGCAGTGTTGATGAGGTATTGTCAACATTTATTACTACATGCATTCTGGTATTTTTTACCTGATGTGTTCCCACTATGGTTCACTAAGTGCATGCACAGTCAGGGTCGTAACCAGGCGTACGCACAGGCTTCCACGTAATTTTTTCAAGTATACTTTTTTTCAGATAACGGGCGCATGATCGTCTATGTATATCAGGTTAAAATAATTATTACGCATTTGATAAAAAATATTAAAAGCCAAATATGAAAATGATAGGTATTTAATGTCTCAAACTGCACCTCGGGAGCCGGGGGGTAACCCCCCTCCCAAACCCACCCCCTTCTTCGCGCTTCGTGTGCTTCCACATACTCATAGTCCTGGTTACGTCCCCGACAGTCCCTATTTGTTGATGCTGTGGTATACATGTGTTATTACTTTGTTCATTGAATGTTTTTCCTTATTTTATTTCAAACCATATATGAACCATTATTTCCCACACCAAACACTCATTTGAAATATGCATAAAGTTGATTAATTTCATTTCAACATCTTTCATTCATTAAAATCAAATGGATTGAAAAGCTAATATGCATTAATTCTAGCCTATTAATTAGTTTTAGGCACTGTTTTTAAATCAAAGCCAGTAGGACTTTAGTGTGAGACAATATAACTGATCACTACTGTGTGATGCAGACTGAGAAATCTCAAGCCGAGTACAATGTATACATTGTATATGATTTTTTTATGTTAGACACGGCCTTGCCGAGTGTGGAACAAAAATCTTGTCTTGAAGGTAGATTCTATAGAATTCCTCTTTAAAAAACATCTCAAAGCATTTACCAGTACTTCTTGTGATTGTAAGCGTTTTGTCATATTTTGGCTCAGTCTCATCATTTGTACATCAACAATTGAACTTGTGTGCATGCTCTAAATTAATATGTTTTAACTTACAAACAACAACACAGTGTTATCCATGTAGACGGATCTTTATTTCTTCACTATAGCTGCTATAGAAAGCTGACTCATCTAATAAACAAATCCAGAGACATTAAACAGAATATACAATCTTACGATTGTGTTTTATCACAGCCTTGTCAATATACATCACTACATATAGAACAATATTGCATGAAATAAATCTCTCCTTACATCGTAAAATACAAAATGGTATATAATAATACCAGTCAAACTACAAAAGTCTAGAAACATGTAAATTGTTTACAATAGTTCTCTTATTAAAGCTAAAAAAACGTACAAAGAAAAGTTTTGATTTAGGCGTACGAGAATATTATACATGTAATAACGCTAAAATGAATCCGAGGGGCAATACACATCGATTGATATTGTAAACAAGGGGTCCAACAGGCCTGTATCTCTCTAGATCTCCTGACAACCATTTAAGAATTATTCTATTAAAATCTATGTTGATGACAATTTTTTGACACAGACTTTATAAAGATATGATAGATGTTAAGAATTGTCTAGGTCTACCATTGTGTTGAACTTTGACCTATAGTGAAGCCCTTTTATGACCCCTTAAAATTATGAAAATTGTCCCCTGGGAAATTTTCTATAAATTTATGAAATAAAACTGAAATATAAAACTTTTATGTATGTATAGGCCATGCTAATAAGAAACATCAATGCTGACACAATTATAGAACTTGAGAAGAAGCTACAACGTAAAAATATTTATATTAATGGAGGCTGAGAGAATGTAAGGTTACCATTTATACTACACATCTATCATACCAAAAGTATTACCCTTGCTTCTGACCGGTTCAAAGTTTCATGCTTAAGTTAAGCAACACAACATAGCTTGAAATTAAAGTAATGATAAATTCTAAATACATGTATTGTGAATATGAAATCAAAAAACATTATATGAGCACTGCCAATGAAACATGATGACTATTTACGATAACAAATTAAATATAATATTTTCCTAAAACTAATTAAAACTATAATCTTTCTTTTATTTCTATTTTAGTAGAAATATACTAAAAATAGTTATATCTTGGGAGAGAAATTGCAAAAAAATCAACTCAAGTGACAAATCGAAGCTTTAAGAAACCACAACTTTTATGGGGAAAAAGTGAGTTTTTTAAGGATAATTTTACTAGTGCCATTTTAATTGTATTGCTGTTATGCTGTGATACACCTATATCCTGACTTGACCTTGATTGTAAAGGTTATACAACCCAAATTGTAATTAACAATATGTACAGGTTCCTGTAGGTATAAAAAAGCGAGAGGGGGATCAAAATGTACACATCTTAAAGAACATCAAAAGCTATTTAAGGTATATCCTACCTTAGCTTACTACTATAGCTACCTGTCTCCTTTATAAAAGAGTTCTACTGAAAGAAAACAGTTTCACATATCTTTTATTTTGGTTTTTCAGACATGGGTAATTCATTGTGACCCATTAAAAAGAGACACATCAATAAGAACACAAGCTTTAGTAATAATCAGGCAATTTCCAATTCTTTGGAAAATTGTCAATGAACATTATTCATTAATCAAGGGAGACAACTTTGATATAAATTACAAGTACAATGTGCAAGGCAGCATATATACAGATGTTTCTTAAAGGTTCAGTAAGCAAAAAAAACCTCTCCAAAAATGTAAATAATAACATGTTATTCAGAGAAATTATACACATATAAACAATGTTTACTGAAATTTCAACTTAAAAAACCAAAAAACAATCCAAAATGTAATTGGGCTCTAAGAGTCACACAATACTAGCAGCTTTGTGTGATAGAATGTAACCTCACATGCATGAAAAAGTAATTAAATACACACATACCAAAGGACAGAACCAAGGGGGAAGGGCAGATCCAGGTGAGGAGGACAAGTCCAAAATGTGAAAATTTACTCTTTTTCTTTTTTGCTCCTCAATATAGATGTAATGGTTTACAGGTACATCTGGGGGGTTCCCTCTGTTTACGGGTACATCTGGGAGGTTCCCTCTGTTTACAGGTACATCTGGGGGGTTCCCTCTGTTTACGGGTACATCTGGGAGGTTCCCTCTGTTTACGGGTACATCTGGGAGGTTCCCTCTGTTTACAGGTACATCTGGGGGGTTCCCTCTGTTTACAGGTACATCTGGGAGGTTCCCTCTGTTTACAGGTACATCTGGGGGGTTCCCTCTGTTTACGGGTACATCTGGGAGGTTCCCTCTGTTTACAGGTACATCTGGGGGGTTCCCTCTGTTTACGGGTACATCTGGGAGGTTCCCTCTGTTTACAGGTACATCTGGGGGGTTCCCTCTGTTTACGGGTACATCTGGGAGGTTCCCTCTGTTTACAGGTACATCTGGGGGGTTCCCTCTGTTTACGGGTACATCTGGGAGGTTCCCTCTGTTTACGGGTACATCTGTATCAGTCCTGCCAAATCTCATACTACTTCATTTTGGTAGCTTATCCTTTACATTATATTTAATTTTAGTTTACATGATTTAATAATTAGTATTTATGATTCTTATTTCAAACATGTATTCAATATACAAGCACTAACAAATTATAATCATTATTTTCAAAATTGCAAAATAACAATATTAATTATTCATAATCATTATTTTCAAAATTTCAAAATAACAATATTAATTATACATTAACTCACAATTTCAAAATAATAAGTTGTCAACAATTTCTTATATATGTTCCTTGCTTTGTTTCTGGTAATATACAATTCAAATTGAGCAATATCATTGTAATTTAGATTATCGAATATCAAACCCTAATTAATAAACAATATTTTAACAACACAACAATTTTTGTTATATTGGACCATTACCTTTTCATTTTCAAAAGGACCTGATAACTGATAAGATTTCTGAAGATAAAATTATGGGATTTCTAAATTAATCTTTTTATGGGGATTTGTTGACTTTGCAATATTGATTTGTTAACTTCATTTAAATCCCTGAGGAAGAAACGTTCCAAGAATTTAAGGCATAATTAAAAAATATTAATATTAGTTTTAAACCATTTGTTGGCACAATGTTTTTCTCCGAGTCTCTACCTTAGCATCGTTAAAGTTCATCATCAGTAATAATAACAAATTGATCTGTCACAATCAGACACTCAAGCAATCACAGAGATTTATAAGCCGAAGTATGTAACTTTCATATTACATTCTGATCCTCATATATTTCTCATAAAATTAACGATAGACAATGCAATTACATCAACCTCATGAGCTCACGAAAATTACACCATCACCAACACGAAAATTAGCTCAGAATGAAATTGATAAATGTATTCTATTAGGATAGAATACACCAATATGTGTTTCTCCGGAAAAGACTTCTTATCATTTTTGATATTTGTATTGGCTCATTATATTACAATATAAAAAATAATTAGATAAAATCTGTCTTTTGAATTACTGAACCAACAAAACACCAAGAAGTTTAAAGGTAAAGGGTTCCATTGAAGAATAAAATGAAATTATTTTGATCTAATCCTCTCAGGATAAATCTGTACTACATCACTTTGACACTAGTATGTTTGACTCGAATGTGGCAATGATCACTGTAACTTCATTGATAAAAATTAAAAAAAATCGTCTGAAATCTATTTCTGAAAAATAAAATTCCACATATCAGTTAAGTATTTTCATACAAGCACTGTTTAAAATTCTGTATACCAGGAAACTTTCGTTCAGTCAAATTTTCGCCGATAAAATCAATATTCGCTCAGAGTTGGTTTCACCCCTCACATCTACATAGTCCCATTATGTGTATTATGATAGTTGCGGAAATTCACTGTAATGATAAACTTGCCCTCATTTCCAAGGGTGAAAAAGGCGAAAATTCAACTGCAGTAATTGTTTCCAAGTACGCACTGTATAAAAACTACTTGTGTAGTTTATCCCTACATAAAGCATTTATTTCGCTGATATGTACAAACAAACTATTTTTTACAGAATACTGTTACTGGTACCCCTATCAAAGTTCAAGCACAATGAAATTGGTCCATACATACATGAAATAAAATGTTGACTAGCAAATTATAGAGAGCGGGATGTTAAAAACGTTTAAGGAAAATTCAGAAAGTTTAGCTTCACCATCACCAATCTAACAACAATTCAAAAAACATTTCTCCTGTTGATAATTGAGCAAGCAGCAGATTCGCTTTTGCTACAAGAATTCTAAAGTTGCAAAAATTACATAACTATATAAAATTTAACAATAAAACCGAAATAAGCTAAGCCTCACGGCAAAACCTGTGAACGATAGTTTGCTAGGTGTTGATCAGTGACGCCTATGCGCAAATCTTTTCTTCGTTGTCCTTCGTCCTCAAGAGTCCTGAAATGTTCAATCCGATTCACCTTAGCGTTGAGGACTTGTGTTGCTTGCTGCCTATTTTGAGTTTCTTCTACTTGAATGCGCTGCTGGTGTTCATCCCAACGTTTCTGGGAATGCTGAACTCGTACTTGCTGTGAAAAAAGAAACCAAAAAAATTCAAAAAAAATCCAAATAAAATCATTTTATTGATAGTAAAAACTTCTCACATCTGTGACCCTCAATTTTGGATATATGGCCAAATTAAATTAGACAAACTAATAATTAATGATAGCAAGCAATATCTTAATTACAATATTGTACTCATGTGACCTCCAAAGTGTGTCAAGGTCAATACATTCATACAAACCCTTCGACAGAGCAAACTATATATAAGACATATATATAATTACTAATGGGGCATCCACCATTTCTGGCATAGGCAAAAAATGGGCAAAAGAATTTAACATACTTTTCGCCTAGTGACCTTGAAAAATACTGTAATGCTTTATGGATCACACCAAAAATTTAAAAAAAAGTTAAAATGTCTGTAAGACATAAATAAATGATTTTAAGAGTGGGCATAGTGAATCACTGATTTCTTCATATTGATCAGTATAAAATAAGGACAAAAAAGGTACATGTATAATTAGATTGTGACTCAAAGAAACCCCACGAATGTTCCATCATCCATTCTCGACATTAGTTTAATTAATGGCCCATCAACACATACCGGTGTATCAAGAGGGGCATGGATGTAAAAAAATGTAGAAAACAGTTAAAATTATGATAAACAGGGTCCCAAGTACTGCAATAGCTGGCGTGTGTAACATATTACAGAACAATAAACCAGGTACACTAGTACTGTTCTCATCAAGAGAATGCAGAAGAAAACATCTTATTCTTCACAAGCTTCCACAGTAATCACACCTATTTATAGTCAAGAATATACAAACATTTCTTTATAAAAGATTAGAACATCATACCTGTCTCTGTTCAGCTATAGTCACACTCTCCTGTTCCCTTGTAAAATGTTCGGTCTCTCTCTTCTCTCGTCTTTCTCTCATTCCTGCGATACGTTTAATTCGCAGCTCTTCTTGTTGCTGTTTAACTTGCTCGCGTTTCGACCTAAGTTCTGCACTGATCTGTTTCTTGGCTTCTCTTGACTGTTGAACCATCCGTTCCTCGTTCACTTGACGCTGCCGATCGTGGTCCATTTGAGCGATGATGCGCTCCCTATGGTTGTCCTGCATTAACTCCTTCATCCTGTCTTGTTGATATAGCCGTTGATTCCAGTTGACTTGTCGCTGGATAACTTTCTTCCTCCTGAAATGTTTTTATAACTGTGAGATACATAGATATTGTATAATTATCAAGTCAGGTATTGCCCTTGTCTTTGTCTAATAACCAAGCTTGGTAGCCAAAATATTTTGAATACGGTAATGTATACATAATATCAAAGGCAAATAATCCATATATTTGACATAAAATTATCAAATCTGTTAACACAATTATTTGCCTGGCTTTGTATATGATGTTATTTCAGGTAAGTAATTTTAAATCTTGGCACTCTTTTTATCGAGGGTAAATTATCCATATACAGGACGCTAACCTGAACTCTGTCCTGGCAGCCTCTTTGGCGTCGGCGGACATTGTGCGTGTGACTTGGGGCTGGGAAGGGCGGTGAGGAGGGAACATGCCATTCTGGCATTTTGCAGGTTTCATCAACATCTCGACACTTGATGTATGACAGTGTTTTGCTTGTGGGTCAACATACTTAAATGCAGAATTTGCCCATTCAACTGTAAAAAATGTAAAACTCTATTTAGTAAATGACAACAAAACAATATGGGTATAACAATGCAAATGAGATAAACTGTTTCTTATGGAAGATAACTCCTTGTACACGTTACAATTTTACGAGAGAGCATCCCAGTAGTCTAATATTGTACCTTCAACGTAGACAGGTTCCAACTTTTCAGCATTTTTCTTTACTTGAACTTAGTTACTTGCACATTTACTACAGCCAGCAGTATGTATATTATATATGAAATGAAGATATTTATTATGATAATTTCTGTTTTCAGAAAAAAATCTCCGTCACTGGGATTCGACTTATAAAACAGGGAGTCATTCACTGCACTGGTCATGATATCCGAATATATGTTAAAACTTTATTCTTCAACATTATTTAAAGGAACAATTTCAAAATGTTCTAACTCCCTAAAAGGCTTATAGTATACAATTTTCTTTGAATGAATATAGAGGAAATAATATAAACGAGAAAATATCTTTCCATTGCCCGTCTATCGTAGAAAAGTGGTGGAACTCTCTCCATTAAGGTACGGTATAACCCTAAAATTAACCAATGTTAAGAAAGTTCACACTAACCACTATATGGTGGTGTTCTGCTGTGGTCTTTGGCCTCTAATGGAGCTTGGAGGGCTGTTTCCCTAAATGGGCCCGGCCTGTTAGGACCAATCATCTCTGGGGTACACTCACTGCCCCAGTATTTTACCCATGGGGCCTTGTTTTGGCTCCTCTTCCCTGACCCTGGGCGGCGGTAGAACATGTTAAAATCCCTGGCAGGAGATCGGTTTCTCCTTGGTGGGGATTTTGATCTTGAGCGTGGGGAATGAGAACGCCTGGTTGGAGATTCTCTACGACGACGAGGAGGGCACACAGGAATATTTTCAGCATATCTGTTGTCTTCTCCAGCAAAGAAGTTGTATTCTAAATTCTCTGTTGGCTGAGGAGTTGTCTCTGCAAGAAGAGTTTCAGTTAATTACAAGATAATATTTAACTCTTCTAAAAATCCACCACTGGATTGAAGATTTGAGTTTAATTATAATTCACTAATAAAAAATTAAGTTACAAACAGGGTTTACATTCAATTCGTATTACCATAGGAAATATCTTTTTTAGAATTAAAGAAAAAAAACTCATAGTAGGTATGGTAAATTGTATATATCAGTATAAAAAAAGTGTATCAAGGAAAGCATTGCTTTGAATAAATATGGTATTTCATGAATATAGAAGGGTGTATTTGGGGAAATTAATGAGGTAATGAGGGCTAATTTATCATTACAGCGAAATTTAGTAAACAACATAATATACAAAGTAATTAAATAAGGAGGGCAAAATTAACACCGAGTGAATATGGACTTTATTGACACGGCTAAAAATTGACGGGGCAAAAGTATGAAGTATGTATTTTATAATACAAAGATGTATTCGAGACAGGGCTTTAATTAGAATCAATATATTAATTTGTATCTATAAGTAAATAAATGCAGTTATTTGTTTATCTATAAGAGGTGTATAAAGGATGGCTTTGATTAGAGAATATATATGCTTGTTATGACATATATGTATAATAAAATAGGTGTTGAAGGGACAGGGTTTTAATTGGAATAAATATGGTAATATGTATATGAGATTTTTAGTACAAGGAATACGATATTACAAATATCTAAAATAGGTGATGCTTTGAATGGGATAAAGCTGATAATGAAAAATATCTAAGCTTTCCCATTAATGCATTTAACAAATCTGCTTAGTTTATTATAGAAATTGGAGTCCTTTAATACAGTTATATCACATGTATTATTGAAACTAGTATACTTCTTCAAATAAAACTCATTTTTAGAGTAACAAAATGTATAATTAACAAGTTTTTCTCACCTGATCGTCTTTCCTCCTTTCTTTGACCTCTGACCTCTTCCTCAGTTGGCCTGTCAAGATCCTCCAACATAACATCGTCTTTAAATGATACCGATTTACGAAGTAGATTCTCCTCTTGTTTTTCACGTTTTCTCAGTAAGCGTTCTCTTTCCATCTGTCTTTCAAACTCAAGCTCATCTGCCTCCATCTGTTTTTTCAACTCTAGATCCTTCTCCTTCTGTCGTTCCAATTCCAGCTCTCTCTCCAATGCTTGAATTCTCTCTGCCATTTGTTGTTCTGTTCTTTCCCTCTGTTGAGCCTTGATCAGAACCTTTTCACTGTCCTCCATTAATTGTTTCTCATTATTATATTCAACCTTCTCCACATCTAACGATTTCTCCTCTCGCGCAGCTTTTTCTTCGTACTGTCTGTCTCTCTGTCCTTCGTCAATAATTAACTTATGTTCCATCAGTTGTGATGTAACTTTTTCGTCCAGTTGTCCCTGAGTCATGTTTGTGCCTACACAAAAAAACAAGATTGAGTGATTGCTGAAAAGTTGAGAATTTCTTCAGGTAACTTATTTTAGCATTTTTGATAAATGTAAAATTTTGTAAAACTTTTTCAATATTATTGAAAAACAAATTTGAGTTTTAAATGTAAAAAACAAGTAAACAATACACAGTTGTTTTTTAAATGAATAGAATTGATCCTTATTGATATCATACATTATTTACAATTACTTTAAAGTAAGTTAGTTTTCAAATGATCGTTTTTTAAGATTTCAAAGGCATTTTTAAGGCTATAACACTGTATAAGATGAAAACAAAACCGGAAATACTTCAAAGATAAAGTTTTCAAATTTTACAAGTTACAGGTTTCAAGGTATTTTTAATAAAAGATAAAGAGGGAAAATATGCAACCAGAAACTACTTCAAGCTGTCATGGATATTTAAGGTTTTTGAGTTCGACAATATAGATATGTATATTTTTCCAAATTTTAAAGTTAAAATTATTCCAAGATATTTTTAATTAAAGATAAAGAGAAAAAATGCAACCACAAACTATGGTACTGAAATCTGTCTTGGATATGTAACATAAATATTTATAATGCTTTCTAGCCAAACATCATGACCAGCTATACATATCTATAAGCACATGCACTTACCTGGTACAAGCATATTCATGGCATTGCTACTGACGGCAGACTTGACGGACGCCGTGCGCTGTTTCAGTTGTACGGGGTACCCTGGAGTGTACGGATACTGCCACGTAACGCTTCCCACCGTGCTGTCCATGTCAAAGGTCACCGGGTGTGGCTGTTCGTACACACGGGGCTCTGCAGTGGGGCCAGATGTTGGGTAACCTGGGAGGTTCTCCAGGGGGTAGTGTGGGTTGGTTTGAAGAGTCTCCCTTGCCTCTCGTGGCATCTTAAGTTCCAGCACAAGTCGTTCATATACTTCTTCAGGAACCCACAGTGCCATGTCTGACGGAATCTTCTCTGTCCGCCCATTGGAGAATGTGACAGTGATCTGATGGTCATCTGGACCTACAATGTACAATTTTTTTCTTTCTTTAAAATTCATGCTTTTCTTAATTTTCTTTCTGAAATATTGACTTGGGACAACTTTTAATCCCTTTTTACATACTTCATTTACATGACATGAACTTCTGCCGTGAAGAATCAGCCATTACTGTCTGATCAGCCAATCAGAAGCCAGTGTGGCCATCTTTAATACCAAAAATTAAGTGTTGGCCATTTGATGTAAAGTATTTACTGCAATATCAATGTGACAAGGGGGACCGGGAAGGTCATAATGTTTTCTGAATGTTCCCATCATTATGATATGATTAAAAAACCTCTTATACTCTTTGATTTTTCGAGGAAGGGGAATGTTATCTAACATGTGGTGTTTTGAACCTTTTTAATGCTGCAGGGGGGGGGGAGGGGGTCCAAACTTTGTATTTGGTATTTGGTTGCATGATCTCTTTTATGCTTTATAAAACATTTAAAATCTGTATCTCTACTCCACATACAAATTTTCAATAAATTTATGAAAAGGTTGTTTTGATAGAATATGCATCTTTGTTTAGTTTATTTTAAGCAGGAAACTGTGATAGACAAAGAGGGTATTTGTGACAGATTTTTTTTTTTTTTTAATCTGCCTTGCATGAATTTAAGCAAAAAATAACACAAATATAAAAAGGGATTATCTTCAAACACAAATTGTTAAGTTCTTACTGGATCTCTCAAATAGGGTTAAACCGTAATTATAAATATCAATTTCAGACCACTTCAAGATAATTGGCTTGAGATATTCTATTCAGCCGAGAAAGTAAATATGAATTTGAAAGAATCATTGACGAGAACACATTGAGGCACCAAGTATATGTTTAAAGTTCCTGCCACATACCATTTAAACTAGCATGGTAAAAATTCTTTGGCCCTTCAGAAAGTGATTTAAACTTCAGACTGTGGTTACGCATACATGTCTACTGTTGTTCCAAATATAAAAACAAGAAAAAGAAGTTATACACTGGTATAGATATGTTTGGTCTCGGGTTTGTATGAGTGATCAATACCTAGCCGGTCTGTATTTGACCTTATTGACATTCCCAAACATTCAGCCAGGGACCATGGCTACAGGAAACATGTGTATAGTTTAAAGGGTTGAAAAATCAATAGAATCAATATTTCTAAGTACTTTTACATTATTCAAGACTATCTCTATACTGTAAAGGAGAAAAAGATATTTAACTGTAACACTGAAAAAAATTTGTGAATAGCATCATCACAAAAAGCATTGAGATTCCAAAAACTATAGTATGCATATAACTGTCACATTGATAAATCTGTGAATAGCCTTTTCACCCCCCCAAAAAAAGCAAACAAAAATCAGGAATCCAAAAAGTGCAAATTATTCTGCAATAGAAATTAGAAATTGAAATAAAGCTGTGATGTGAATACGAATGACTTATATGTTTGGATCTTTTGAAAAAAAAAGTTTTAGGTGAAATCCATTTTTATTATTTATTTATTTTTTAAATCAAAAGACGCAGCAGTAAGTTTATTAAAAAATAACATGGGCATAGAATTCCCATAGCCTAATGCTTGATGCTATTGATTTTATGGCGGGGCTAGTGAAAGTTTTCAATATTTAATTTGAAAACGTATATATGTTAGGCAAGTAAATCTTTTAAAAATCTTTCTGTGGGCTAGCACACTAAATAAGAATTGTACAACCCTGATAACAGGTCAAATAAAAAAAAATCTTGAACAAAGTAATAAAATGAATTATTGTTGAAGAGTTCATGTATATCTTCATTGGCTATTCAATTTAAAGGTAAACCTGGTGTGATATGGGGCAATAAAAATCTCAATGGTACAATGTATACATTCAGATTATAAGGGTAATAAAAATCCTAAGTGTTTAACTTCAAATTTATTGAATGCACTAGATTCTGAACACCAGACTCAAACACATGTCACACAGTGTAAAATCACCATAATATGCTACCAGCAGGCCTTTTTACAGGTATTTTCACTGCTTTCATGCCAAATAAAAAAAATGTGATTTTACATTTTTCTGTGATTATATAAGGAAGGCTGAACCACACTATACAGGGCATGATTTCAAGTTTTTCTACTATGAATTTCAGCTAGGCAATTCTCATTTTGAAAACAAATATGGACCTGGTCCCCACCATACCCAAATAACTTTTTGTACCTCTGTGTATCACAGTCTCTAATGCAGGGCCCTCACTACTGGTTTGCACCTGTGTATAGCAACCACCTGTCTATAATGACTCGTTACTATTCCACCCCAGAGATTTCGATTTAGAAAGGTTTTATTTCTTAAACACTTCCTTCTAACCCTATTGGTAAATGCTTCCCGATTTATTTCCCTTTCAGTTTATGACTGATCATTGGTCGTTTGAGAAATGGTGATGATGAATTATGAATTTATTGTTTTTAGAGATTCTTGACAACTTTTAAAATACCAATGAAAAATTTATAATTTTTTTTTTATTCTGAAACAAAATTGTTAAGTTATAAATGTGAATGTTCCTTTCAATAAAAAAAATGTTTTGCTGTAGGTTTCTTGTAACAGATTGATATAAGAATATTTGTGTTGGTAGGTAATAAGGTGAACACATGAATGCGGTTTCTGGATTGAAACATTTATCTTGACTTGCATTATCGTTTGATTAAGAGAAATAAAAAATAATTTCATTTAGATTTTGCTTCTACTTAAATTGCTATGGGGTAATATATTTTATATTACATTTTCAATATCTCTAAACGTAATAAGGAAGATGACTTTTCCCAAAATACTCAGGCATATCAGTTAGGGTATGTAATACAAGGGGCTCTTGGCCCCTAAAATATGGGAAGGACCCCATGATCTTCATACAGTCTATGGTGGCCCGCTGGGCCCTAGCTTTTTTGGCCATTACATGCCTGATGCTTTGAAACTCAAATATATTGGCAGGAACTTTTATATTGCAGAAAATAAACTAAACTGTACAACATATTTAACAGATGCAGATTACAGAATAGTTTAGAATCCACCATAGATCTTCTAAAACAAAACAAAACCCCTGAAGGGGCATACCCCTGAACCTCATTCGCTAAGATTTGCTTTTTAAAGCATTTATGCTTCTGCCTCCATTTTGATGAACAGGTAGTGTCCGAAAAGTAACAACGCACATCAGGACCCCCATAATTTCAAGAGGGCCCCTAGCTTTTTCTGGAGAGACCTGTGGTCATTCACCACAAGTTAGTTACTGTGTAAGTCTGAATACTGGATAGAAAATGCTGAAATTCCTCTGAAAACATATAATCTATTTTTTGTTTCATCTGTGTGGTCACCATACACAAAGAAATTGTTAAATAAAAATTGTCAAATAATTTAAGAAAATTTATCACCAGATCTACGTACCTTCGGAACCTCTCTTTTCGTGTCCCTCTATGACGACTCCAGGCCCAAACCTCTCCCCTTGAGGTTCCCAGGGTGCCAGCACTTTGTCCGAGGTGTTGATGGTATGACGCTTAGCGTCCTCATAATCTACTAGGTCGTACACAAATGTATCCTGATATGTTGTCTCCTTGTACTTCCCAGGCTTACTGGGACCAAATGCTACCAAAAATTTATCACCCAAAATCTGAAATGAAAAATAAAAATTTCATTTCAAATGTTATAAAATAAATTGACATTTAAAAAAAAAAAAAAAATTACTTGAAAATACATATTTAAATAATTTTCTTCGTTAAAATTAAATAATGATGTACATATTTAAATAAGTAATTTATTTTTGAGTGATGCTTGCTATCATTAAATTATTAAAGCTTTTTCAAATTTATTCATCATGTAACTATTATTAGCTGCAAAAATGATTCACCTCGGTAGTTGAGTTTGGAGGTTATTGTAGAATATAATTAATAATAATGCTTTTTAATTAAAATAATAGATCTACATGTTGTAATATGTTTAAATAATCATAAAATGAATCTTTGGAGTATTATATGTCATACAAAAAACTATTATTTGTAACCCTTTAATGTGGTATATATATAAACAAATTTGAGCATGGTAGAAAATAATGAAAATAATACAAATATGATTTCACAACCTTTTGTACCACATAAATAACTGTGATGTAGTTCAAAGTATTTGCTCATACATACAGATCATTATTTACAATGATAATTACATGATGCATGTGACAAATATGTGATGTAACATCTTAAACGCTATGGTAACCAGAATGTTACTGATGAATGTATAACATCATACTGTTTGTGTGTTGCCATGGTTTCTCTGATGATCTTGCGTACATTTATTGATCGACTATTGATTTATTCTAGTCATGATGGATGATCATACATGCTTTATAGCCAGAGCTCAGAATAAGATCTGGTTGTTCTAATCATGGATAGGAGGTTTCAGTGTTTTCTCCCGAGAGGGGGATTTGGGTACATATCACTCTTAATTTTGAAATTTTTCTGAATATAACACAACAATCTTTATTTATTTTGCAAAAAATATGAAACAAGTTTTATTAAATTATAATAATTACTCTTGTTGGTAGCATGCAGCAGTTTTTAGTGTGGGAGGAAACCAGATTACCCAGGAAAGCCCCATGTGGTCAGGCAGGTGACACCATGCCTTCTCACATTTGATCGGAGAATCAAACCCTACTGAAAGGGGAGTACACTATCCAGTGTATTCACTGTGCTGTTCATCCACCTGTGTCAATCGACCACCCACATCCAATGCTTCCTACTTTTTCAATTCCTTCAGAGACGGACTGGGTATTGCATTTCGATACGATAGTGTTTCGCTAACGATGACTCTTTTAACTGACATCCAAAAAAACTGGATCATTTGGTTGCATATGGCAGTGTGTCCCAAGCCAGTGTTTTCAGTAAGTTAACAAGTAGGTGGTTGAATTGATTTGAAAAGATTAGCTGGTTGAATGTTCACATGCTATAATGTTGGTCTATATGTGTATTCTGAAAAAAACAGCCTGTTCAAAGTTGATGAATAGCTGGCCACTTTTAATGGCAGCTGACATCATTTCCTCAGATCTATGTCAGTAAACTATGAACCTAAATTTACTGACTTCAAAGGAGACTGAATTTACTCAAGAATGACGGTGTGTAGGTTAAGTCGTTATAATTCAGGCTTTTTGGCTGCCATAAGGGCATGTAAGATATTGCAAGGTGTGATTCAAGTCACTTTACTCAGGTGTCAGAAAAGTCAGGTGTCAATGTATACTAAATATAATTTCTTTAAAAAAAAGGGAACCAGCTTCAGGTTGCCATGAGGGCATGTTAGATATTACAAGGTGTAGTCAACATCAGTTTATTCCGGTGTTGGTGAAGTCAGGTGTCACTCTATACTAATTACGTCAATTTATAGAAGTACCAGTTCCCTTCCTCAGTGTTGCTTTGTCCTGACTTTTGAGCTACTATTTGTAACTCTGTTATTTTATAAACTTGCATAAATTCACAATCAAAACAACTTTTAGCTAGCAATAGGGCATACATATAGCAAAACATGTTCAACAAACTTTGGGGAACTAAATAAATTTGGTTACTAAAAAACATTATATAAGTAGGGTATTTTCTCATTGCCTTAGGGAGTTCGGCTTGTGGCTTTGAGATTTGCATAATCGTATCACAGTACAGAATACATACCTGGCTCTTGACCTTGCCGAGATAGAAATATCCATCGTCAATTCGACGAGCCAGAACTTTCTTGCTGATTAAAAGTGCTCCAGCGGCCGGAGATACACCGGAATTTTCAATGTGATCCATCATTGACTCCTGTGACTTCAGCCATCCCCGTGCGGGACGATACTGACTCCATCCGTTGGGAAAGTAATAACGATGTGGCTGCATGAACCAATGACCCCAAGCAAGGTGACCATAAGGGTTACCAGGAAATCCTGGATATGAATTGAAGGAGGAAACTCGCGGTGTGAGAGCGAGGGATTCTTCGGGATCCACTTTCAGTGTTGTGGCCACGCTGCACTGTTTTCCATGGTTATGTAATGTTCCATTTATGGTTCTAACGATTCGCTCGTGAGCATGATCTGCTCGATAGATTGGAGTGACACGCTCCACACAGCCGTGTTGTGTTAGACTGACAATATGGAAAGATCCGTAAGATTCCACCGACAAGTCCTCCAAAAACTCAATTGCAGATGTGTCCATAGCATCCTCCGCACACAGATAGATACAGTGGATGGGACGTCCTCTCACAGCGTTGGTGACTTGGTCTAGGATGTCTACAGGATGTTGATCCGGCAGACCATCAGTTACAAGATAGACGGATTCACAACCACGATCCTCAAGTGCAGTCAGAAGTGCATCAAGTGTATTGGTTCCTGTTTTCGCACTTAGTCTTTTCACCCATTCTGCAGCGACTTCAACTGTTTCGGCACTACACTTCACCATCTTGTCAGCCCACTGTGTCACTTCTGAATTAAACTCTATGATATTAAATGATGTAGGCTGACTCTTCCTTGCATGTTTTAATAGTGTCTCCACCAGGTGTTCCTTGACCACACCCAGGCCTTTGAACATGCTTCCTGATGTGTCAACGCAGAAGGTGACATTCTTCTCGAATGTCTCCCCGAAAATCGTGGGAATCCCTTTTATGTTCAAGGCCATTCTTCTTTTGGATAAAACAGCAAGAGGTATAGCTAAATTTTCTAAATCTGAAACAATAGAATACAAAATAATTGACATTAAAACATTCAAAATCAGTTCTGGATAATACTGTATCAAAACAAAAAAGTTCCACTTAAGACAAACATTGATGATTGTTGAAACTTTCAATAATCAATAGTTTTTAATAATTATTGACATAAACAAGTAAAGGACTACCCTGTTGATTGCAAAAAGAAGGTTTGGATAATACCTTTGTACATAATATAAAGTACTTGGTACCTGATGGACAACAATGGGTTCAATGTTTACCGGTAATTAAAATGCCAACGATCTTATCTTTCTAGTGTACCAGAACCTTTCCAAGAAGCGAGTTGGTAAGCTTCGATATTGTTATATTATTAGGCCTAGTGGTACACCCCTGGCTTCGATTTATAATCAAAATTGATAATCAGAGTGTCACACTATTCTAAGACACACAAAATTGACATGATTTACTAACAAGTTACAGAAACATAGATATGATATCATTAAAACAATCTGGGACTCAGGGAGGGCAGGAGATGCCGGGCCATTTTGCACATTTAACTTTAAATGAGCCAAATTAAAATGGAAGATTTTCATGTGTAGCAGACCTGGACTGGGTCAATCGTCGGCAACCAGGTAGCCCAATTGGTAGAGCGTCCATCTAGAGTTTCTGTTACAAAATTTACAAGCTTGCCAACCCTTGTTTCATGCACTGGATGAATGCTTAGCTAGGGGATATCTGAACCTGAATTGTTAATAGGCTTGTCTTTGGGTGAAGACTAAGAAAAAGGAGGGAGGAATGTAGGGGAACTGGACTGGGTCGATCTTCTGCAACTGGGTAGCTCAATTGGTAAAGTGTCCGTCAAGAGTTCGGAGGGTCCCAGAGTCAAGCCCTGATCTGGTTGTTGCATTTCTCTTTCTCCTGTTACACATGTACAATTAAGTTTCAGTTATCCTGTCACCTCCATTAACTACTCCAACAGTTAAGAGGCTTATACATGGCGAGACAGGCGCTGCAGTCTGCAAAATCGTATCCGATAGAAAAAAGGCAGACAAGCGGCCTCTTATGTTAGGAGTACTCTATAAACCAGTTCCAATTGTCTTGATAGTGAAGTGGCTTGATTAATGAAATACATCATAATGTAAAACATCACACCTTTCTAAAAGTGTTGATGTCAGGGAATCTATGGATAATGGTACAACAATGTTAATATTGGAGAACGAAGTGATGACTTTAAAGAGTTAGACATACCATATTTTCTCTGATAAACACCCAGTGCATGCAAAATTGTCTGAATGGGGAAATTATTAAGATAACAGATCATATGTTATATGACAGTTGAAGTTAAAGAGGTCGACACAAGTGTTCGACATTTTCCCATATTTGTAGAAATTTACGATATTTTGGTTAATTGGAGAGGGTCAGAATGGAAGTTATTTTGGAAACGGGACACTTGAATCATTTAATTAGTAGTAAATTAGTGCTGATAAAAGGGGAGACACACTGATTTAGGGGAGGGAGGGGGTAATTATGGTGAATATAAATACAAATAAAATGGGCCATTGCATAACAGCATACCTCATCACTCACTAAATAAAAATGTATACCCATAAGGAAAAATAACACTAACATAGCATATTTTCAAGTACTCTATAACATGAAATCATTTGGGCTTGGTTAATGTATGGGTCCAAATTTGGAGCGAGTCCCTCCAAAACGGGGAGAGCAGCTAGCAAGTTAATTCCTGTAGGAACTCTATCTTAATCAGAGATTTATAACGATAAGATCTATCGTTATAAATCTCTGATTAAGATAGAGTTCCTACAGGAATTACTAGCAAGTATGACGGGATGGTGTTATATAACTATATATATTGACAAATAATGAAAATCTTTAATGAGAATACAAGAATGTATTCCACTAGCTTACAGGAGTAAATTAAACATGACACTATACGACACTGGAATATGACTATAGCTGCAGTCCATGAATGTTTTGCTGTGATCAGCAGTTATAGGATTAGCTGAATTAATTAGGTTTAAACCAAAACCTATACAACCTCTATAACATTGAATGTTTCAATATGAACCTTGTTTTTTTCGTAATTTAAATTATTTCTGAATATGTGTTTTCCTAAGTGTTTTGGCTAAATTAATTATTGTTGTGGTCTATGGAAAAAAAACAGCCATGCCCATGTAATAACGTGTAGTATACTGTACACACGTTTACCTATGATTGACAGTTGTGAAATTAACATCCTATGACAGAAAAGGCGAAAGAAAGAACAGAAAGCTGTACTGTATTGTCACATTTAGCGTGGGAGTTCTTTTTCTCGTTTCATGGAGATGATCACTGTCAGTTGACGTCCACGCGCCTCAAATGTCAACAATGTGTCTACAATTTCCCAAACAATAATGTACTAAAACCATTCACAATATTTGTTGGGAAAGAAGACGTAATGTTCACTCTCCGTGCACTTACCATCATGTAAGAAGAGCTCCGTCTATCATTGCCTACCGGAATCCGTTTACAGATCGAGCACCTGTTATGTAGTTGTCAAGGAAGTCTCATCGAGAGCTAGGAGTTGGTTTTTAGTTTCGTATATTTTGAAAATAAAATTCAGTGGCCAGATACGTACATTTTTATTCCAAAGTTAGTTTAATAATCGAATTTAAAATAAAACTGAGTATTCTATACTGAAGTTCAGTCCGAAATTCATTTTCATACGAAACTGTTGGAAGTATTTGTCCTTGGCAAGATGGAGACCGCCGCAAAGGGTAGTGGTGTCGAGGTAGCAAAACCATCCTTTAACTGGACCAAATTTACAAAACTGTAAGCAATGGCGATGATATTCAAAGCAATTAGCAAATATTTTAACATAATTATCAATTTAAGTTTATCACATGCATTTAAGATTGTAAAAAAAACAGTTTTGTAGACCACATTTGCCTTCTCTTCTTCTTATGGATAATAGCAATCCTTCACATAAACTGAAGATTACGTGCTATGCGCTGGGAAATGTACAAGGGAATAAGGGTTATTTTTTAAAATTTTTGACATATATAGATAAAACTATTTACAGGGTACAAATTTAGAATGTTGAAGACAGGTATGACACAGTTGTCAAATCACAACATGGGAATAACAGAAAATTGTATTAAAACACGTACATACCTACTCAAACAATGTTAGAGGTTTACATGGCGAGATACTAGGCGCCGTCACAGTCGGCAAAATCATATCCGATAGATAAAGGCCGACCAGAGGCGGCGTATAACAAATCTGAGATAGCCACCTTTGTATCTGGTTTGTTTGAAATAATGAAAGAATTAGGTAACCAATACAGGCACTATAGTTTTTTGCTCAAAATTATTGACCACCGGCCCATATCTTTGTATTATATTAAAAGCTTTGTAATGTAATAAGCTGTTTGTAAATATACCACATCTGCCGATAGAAAGTTTTGTCGATTTATCTCTCAAATTGAAAATTTCAAGCATCAAAGAATAATTACAATACAATAAAGCTTCACCTACAAATAACACAATTTTCAGTCATATTAGTGAATTATAATTGTTGAAGATAGGTCATACATGTACTTCAGCTTCAGTACAAGTTGCGTTAGAGCAGATCGTAGTCAACGTGTGGTGCAAAAAATGACCATACTGAGATTTCCAAGGTCCTTCTCGAGCCTGAAATATGAACCGATTACGGTTGTTTGAATTTAGGTGAGGGGTAATTTACCCCTCACCTAAATTCAAACAAAACATTTCCCAATGTGTAAAGTTATAATTTCACATTTCAAAAAAATGAAATTGGGTAAAGCAAAATGTCCCACAATATTGTCTTAATTCTTATTATCCCCTCGAAAGTTTGAGGGGATATAGGATTCCGCCCGTACATATGACATGCGTTTACATCGCTCTAGCTAACTCATTTCTCAACGGAATTTCATGAAACTTCATACAAGTGTTTGGTATGACAATGCCTTGAACAAGTTTGGGTTTCAGGTAACTACGTTTAAGGTCAAGGTCACTGCTCCTTTTCTAAGAAAACACTTTGTCATCGCTCTAGCGACTGCATTCCTCAACGTAATTTCATGAAACTTGATACAATTGTTTACCATGACAATACCTTCAACAGATGTTGTCGATAGAACAGTTACTGTTATATCATTGAATTTTCTATTCATTTCCCCACACATATGGCACACAATGTGTGAATGCGAGGGGATTTGTATCACTTATGATGCCTTGATTTTTTTTGTGTCATGGAAATTTTTCTTCTTTTTATGCAGTTTCAGGTCAGAGGCAGCTTTGGTGAGGAGGGAAATCCTATGCTTTGGTGTTTTCACTTGTTTCTTCTATGCATTAGGAACAAAGTACCATCAGATTGGTGTAAGTATGATTATATAGATACATATTACAGTAACAGGTTCCATTGGTCTGCTTCAAAATGGAATTAGGTGTAATAGATCCAATGAGATCTACAACATGACCAACCCACATAAACTGTACAACCTTTGTTAAAGCTTTTGCATTCTGATCACTTTATTGATACTCTTAGAGATCTGTGCTCACTTTTTAGGTCACCTGAGCTTTAGCTCAAGTGACCTATTGCTATTCGTCTTCGTCCGTCGTCCGTTAACATTTTACATTTTCAACTTAAGCTGAAATACTGGCAAAGGGATTTCATCAATATTTCATGGGAAGGTTACTGACATTTCCCTGACCAAGTGTTGTTATTTTTCGGGTCGAGCAGAAATCCTATATGGCCGCCATTTTGAAAAACTATTTCAAACTTAAAGTCAAGTTCTAATGGGCCGATTAAACTGAAACTTTGTAGGAATGATCAACTCATGGTCCTGACAAAGTTTTGTTATTTTTCGGGTCGATCAGAAATACAATTTGGCTGCCATGGCCGCTATTTTGAAAATAGCTATTTCAAACTTAAAAAAAAGTTCTAATAGGCCGATCTAACTGAAAATCAGTCTAGGAATGATCAGCTCATGGTCCTGACAATTTGCATTGGTGTCCTTTGGTTGTAATTAGCTTGGAGATGGTTCCGAGGACCACTCTACAAACACATACTGGTATGTGCTTGTGGGGCATGCTACCAAGATTGATTGCTGTGTTCCGATTGTTTGCTTATTATTTATATTCAAAGAAATGTTCATGAATCTTCATCAGTAACAAAGGCTCTACACAGTACTTTGAAACCCATTACACAAGTTAGTTGTTAAAATCTGGTTTTGGTAAAAGAAATATTCCACACTGAATTCCATTACACATTTTCTTTGACTAGATCCAAATGAAAACTAAGGCTAGCAATCCAGGTCCTTAATTATTAGCCAAACTATAATGGTTGTTGTTCTCTGTAGTTGTGTGGAATGTTTGCAGATGTCCTGTTTAAGCCGGTCTTCAAAATACAGTTTCTGATCTCGATAAACATACATGAATTTTCACTACACCCATTAAATATGTCATGACATAATTGAAGGATTGCAGTACGTTATCCTTGGCTGGTAACTATGCAGAAAGAGCGACACCTGACTTCAACATCAGTCAATTTTACCATTATGCTGCAGCATGATTCTTTTAAAGGTTTAAACTAGGCCTTTTGTTTCATCCTAAAAATGTTGTGTACAGAGCCTCCATTTTATTCTGAGGGTGTAGAGAAATGAATGTGTCGAGATGGAAACATTGATTTACAAAGCTGGTTGAAATCTATCCGACTTTGTTACATATCATGCTTTTTATTTGCAGGTCCATTTCTTCCATCCTAACCCTTCAAAGTGGACAGATGCAGAGCTTGGCATTCCCCCAGATAACGAGGACTAGGAATATGTTGGCCACTGGCCATTCAGACATTGTAAATACAGGCAACAGAGTCACTGATGCTCATTTAGTGAATTATAGTATGGATGTGACATTTAACAAACACAGCTTTTGTGATATTTGAAAATAAGATTACATTAAAAAAAATTATACATTGTTTGTGTCTTGTCTTTTGTTAGAAAAATATTCAGGTTGTTAACAGATATCATATCTATTTTGTTCGCATTTTCATGCAGTGTTAATGTAATTGTACTGTTACAGTATAATGAAGAAAATAACTTGACAACATGATAAACAATCGAAAGACTGAGGGAATAAAAGGCTTTAGAATAATATTACTGGACAAGTCCTAATATAAATTGAAAACTTCTGATAATTAGGAGAAAATTATTTGAAGTACATAACTTCATTACTTCATCAATACATATATTGAGGGGGAAAAACTGAAATTCCTATATCGCCACAAACCCCCTTTATATAAATGGGCAACTTCTAATGTACAATGAAAACTATTAATTTGACAAAGTATGGAGCAATTAATTCATGGAGAAATTACTATAATAGGAGAAGCAACATTCTTAAAATATCCGCCCCAAGGCCAAGATCTTAAATGCCCGCTTCGCTTAAATAAAATATAGTAGTAAAGGATCCTGGTCTCGCTGCACTGTGTTTTTTGTACATGCAGTCATCTCCCCTTAATTGAGTTTTGTTATGACTAGCAAAGTTGTACCGATACATGCCAGTAGACCAAGTAGCTCCGTCTATTAGAGCAATAGTATAACAATCTGAAGTTCAGGCTTCAAATCACAGACTTGCCCCGGTAAATTTATATTCTCTGAACACCGTTTATTTCATCTTTATTAATTGTTCATAAAAGTCCCAAGATCAAAGTAACTGATTTATCAAACCAATAGTCATGTTGGTTTTTTTCCCCAAGGCAATGGTATGATTTTTTTTTAAACCACAAGTACCTTTTTTTTTTTTAACTTTCATAGCTTTAACAAGAATTCTGAACAGAATTGGAAGCATTACTTAGATCAACTCGTAAACAAAACCTGAAATTTGTAAAAAAAAAAATCAATAATGCATCATTTTGAAATTTAAATCTTTATTTTTAAGCACACAGCTTTGTGGTATGATGAACAGACACGACACAACAGTTTCAATTAAACACAAAACTTGACAACAACACACCTTGTGGTAATTACTACATGTATAGGATTTCAATTTCAAAATATCCTCGGGCAAGTCATATAAAAAATTGTAACTGTATTTTAAGGATTGTACACTTTGATATATACCTATTGACTGGCATGTAATCAGTATGGTACTTGAAGGTCAACACTGAACTGGTCAATCTGGTTTCATAAAGAAAGCATTTCCAAGGGAGGTAACTCTTTCACAACCGTCATGTAAAAAGTGCAAGGTATAGCAGGTAACTTATAGGTATCATACAAGGAAATAAATTTAATTGGTTAAAAAGTAACATTTTTTTTTTTTTACATTAGATCGATTAAAACAAACACCAGTCATCTAATAAACATAGACACAACCAACCAAATTATTTTGGGGGTATTTTTAATACTAGAAACAAGCGTTTTTTGATGATCTTCACATCAATTTTCCCCATTGATTAGGTCTCTGCAGCACAGATCAGTGTTTTTTCTAACTTGATTTTACAACATCCTTTCTTACATGAATTGGGGAAAATAAAGCACTATTTTTACTTAAAATTGGAAGATATGCCTCAATTACCTTCATTTTGGGAAATTAAAGCACTTTTTTACTGGGGTAAGCAGCATGTAGTCAGGTGTAAAACAAGGCAAGAAAAATCATTGCAGGCCACTGAAGTTGAAAAAAATATAAATTCTGCTAAAAAACCTTACCGGTGGCTAAATACCAATAGATGAGGGCGTCGACCTAAAAAACTTGTCCATTGAAGACAGAGAATATTTATATTCAAACAATGAATAACAGACCAACGAAACTTTTAATCCTTGTATCATACCTATAATGTAATTATTGATTGTAACGAGCCTTATTTTGCAAAAAAACAAATTTGGCAGTCATAATTGATTGCTTAAGAAAAATTCAACACAAAAATTTGAACTGACCAATATGAAATTTTCAATTTCAAAAATAAAAATACTTGACCAAGGATTAAATATATACTTTTTAACAACCATTTCGCAGAACGTAACAATCTCTGTGAATTGTGCATGCATAAAAAACAGTATTGCTATCAATTTAGAGTCGACAAGACTTGTACTGCAGAGCCTCGTTAATTCAGGCAGCTAGATACTAAGTGTCCCGAAAATGACATGCATCGATAACTGGTCAAAATACAAACAGAAAAAGGTATGGAGCAAAACACTGGCATATATTGACAGAGTGGCACATTTTAGTTAGTGCTGACTGGATTAACAAGACTCCACAGTAAATTGTTATCAAAACTGGAATTTTACATTTATGAGAATCTTAATCAGTAATATCAGAACACTGGCTATAGTACCAGAAAGTCATTGTCTGAGTAAGTCAATGGCAGTTTCATGATTTATTATATAAAAATTATACCTCTACAACCATCAATAAAAAACAAATGGCCACTAACTAGGAACATTGTTTCATCATCAATCTTGGATTGTCTACTGTTTGCCATTGCCGTTAATCGGCATTGCCTTGACTGCGTCGGAATCCCTGTGGGCTTTGACCTTTTGACGTGACCCTACAGTGGTATGTAGAGCCTTGAGAGCAGGGAATTTGTCGAGACACGACGGCGCCAAAACCAAATGGATGTCCAGCAACTCAAACAGACTGTAGTCCGCAAAACAAATCTGGAAAATATATAAAAACAAAATGAACGAAGGCTCCAAGACTCACCAAGATTTTCTACCCACGCCCCACTTCCCCATCCATCCTACTTTACCCATGACCTTTTGACCCTTTAAGCTTGACCGATAATCTTTCAGATTAGAACTCAATGTTACCATACTAATTAAAGGTGTTAATATAAATTACTCGTAGATTTGTTGAAGAGTTTGCGAGATACAGTATCTCGTACCTAAGCATTTTACCACAGACAGACAGATGAACATACAAATGCACTGACAAAGCCATTACTATAAACCCCCCTTAAATAAGTGTGGGATATAAGAAGATCAGATATGGCACTAGCTTTTACTGAAGTGGGGTCCAAAGTGATTGTTTTGGCTAAAATAAATATGAAACAAAACGGTTTAAATAAAACTTGGGTCACTTGCATTTTTTTTTTACCTATTTCGATACAAAAAAAGGTACGCATGACCAGTAAATATGATTAAAGACTAGTATTTATTGGTTAGGAGTCAGAAAAATATAGTCATAAGACTAAAGTGTATAGCAATTGGGCCTAGTCAGAAAAGTATTTCTCTATTAAAGTTTATACTTATTTGACTGAAGTCAGACAAAATACATAGAAATTTAAAACCCTTGGGATTATATTTTTCAAAACTTTTTGGGTCATAGAAAAAAAACCATACACAAAACTTCATATGTATGTCATTAAAACATAATGTACTTATTGAGAAATAGTTCTAGGAAACACTAGTCATGGTCGTTTCTTTAATTCTTCATGTCAGCAAGCTATAAATAAAATCTAAAATGGTAAAAACTTTCTTTTTGGACAAAGGTCTTCGAAAATATACAACATCATAATTGGTTGGGAAAAATATATATGCCACAACAATTATAACTCCCATCAGTCAATTAACTTACATGATCCCCCAGGACGTAGGGAGATTTACCTTCGATGTATTTCTGAAATAAAATAATGACAGTGTGTATAATAATGTACAGTGACAATATTTCAACATTGAAAAAATAACAAACTTTTGCTATTTTTTACAAAGGTCTAGACTGGAAATTGACGGTCAAGATGTTAACAGTGGGATATGTGAACATTGTAATAGTCAGTTTCTTAATTAATATACACTGTGTTCGCAATACGTAAAACAACATTGTGTTGATCAATTGCTACACCAAATACCTCTCCAGAATCTCCTCAAAGTTCCTGCATGAGTGGCTTAGGTGGTTGGTATTACAGTCCAGATTACAAATTCAAAGTATTTGGGTCAATTATCTCCCTTGTATTGCAATCATATCGAATTGCAATTGTGACAACATCAAATTTGTATCTCATTTTTTCAAAATATTGAAATTTGTAACTAAATTTGCGTTGCATTGATTCAAAATGATAAGGAATAAAAGAAACAGAAATACACTGTATTTGTTACTTTTTAGATATTTCTCCTTAATGATATTTTTAAAATTCTAAAATTTTGGTGAAAGACTTTTAAGTTTAAATAAAAAAAACTTATTCCTCGTTATAAAACAACCAGAATGCGATTGTTGCAGGCGGGATTCGCATTAAGGAATAATTTGTGTCCCGAAATGCTTTAATTTGACATTATTTTTCATAAATAAATTTCATCAAATCATGTTTCAGCCTTCAAATGTTAGGTACAATGCATGTTCCATTTAGTAACTTATATTTTGCAAAATATTTTTACAAAGTATGTACAAATTTGAAGACTTTAACAATGTTTGTTTGATAAATTGGCCAAAATTATTTCATGGTAGGCTTAAAATGTTTTAACTTGGTTAGGTTGGGAAAGTGGAAACACAAATTTTGTTTCGTCAATAATAGAAACTGATCTGTTTTACATGTACATGTATTGTCATAACTTGGGAATATTAAAAATGTTTGATCCATGAAATACTTTCAAATTGATGCAGGATTACGCATGAAATTCCAATTAAAAAGAAATTTATTACACCAGCTGTCTTTAGAGTTTTCAGAGTTTTCATTTCAACAAGTTAAAATAAGAAATTATGTGATGAAAATTTCATCAGTCTCATAATGGAAATAGAGGTTCCCCAACGAGTGATGGTTGGTTATCATGTTTATTTAACTCGAGTTAGTTATTCTTCAAATTGTATAAAGACACAAAGTTTACTGGGTGTCTTTTACAATTTGAAAATTCACTAACGAGAGTTAGATAAACGTGATAACTAATCATTACGAGTTTGGGGACCTGTTTCTAAAATAACGTTATTATTTTATCTGAAAAAAACACTTTTTCCCCTTGGAAAATACATCATGTGTGTTTTCAATGGAGGAAACAATTGCCATGGAGAGTGACGTCACAATGGAAATTGATGTCGAAAAGCATTGTTATGCGACGTCATAAATCAAAGATTGACCAATGAAATCACTTCCAAAAATGTTTACCAACCCCTGGAAGGTAAAAATCAATTTCACATTTCTTTTTTAGCAAAATGATGAATGATTTTGACAAATATTAAAAAAAAAATGTGCTTTTTAAGATCATTCTTGAAGTTGAAAATTCTGCTTTCTTGGTTCTTTATCAGTATCGTTTGCGTTGAGACATCATACTATAAATCTGAAAGTATGTGACATCATTTCATTACCATGATGTCATCTGTCATATTACATAAGTTCATACAAAAATGCGTGTCATGGATACATTTGCTGACTAACCTCAGTCATATGAGAAAATCCAAAACATATTTGAAATAAACTGCCATCAAAATTTAACAAACTGTTTCAGGGATGTGATTTAACAATGACAAAGTTTAATTATTTCAAATAAAGGCAATGTGATAGATAGAAATTTAATATTACATCAACTGTTGCGAGATAAATAGGTTACAGTAGTACTTTACCTCGAAGTATTGCAGTTTTGCTGGTAGCTTGTTGATGTATTCCTCCTTACCAGCGTCCTGAAAGAGGAAACAAGACATGAGACCCAATGGGCATGTATGGCTCACCTGTTACACAATATTGTCTGCAAATACATCCCTTATTTGTGACCTTTAACTCATTCACCCCTGAAATTGCATAATGAACTATTCCAACCTTTGAATTGGAAGAGTTTATATGTGTTTTCAAGAGTAAATGGGTTAAAGTATGTCAAGGTTAAATTTATTTCTATATTGTTGACATCAAGCAAGCTAACATTATTGGGTTTTGAAGGTATTAATTTACTGACTGCTACCTAAAATCTTAGTCAAGTTCATTCATTTGATAGCCCTTCATCCTAGTATGTTACAGACCAAATACAGACCTTAGGCTTCTTGGTAATTCAGGAGAACATATTTCAAGCTTTGAACATATTTTAGCATAGTGACCTTGAAAGCAAGTCAATATCATTCATTTAAGCAAGTTTGATAGTCCTTCATACCAAAAAATGCTAGTAGTACAGGATGCTGCACTTTCCCATAATCTCACTTGGCCCTTCAGGCCAGGTGAGTGACATAATACAATAAAACCTTTTTTTATGATTTGACTTTGATTCAACCAAGAACCATTTAAATTATAAACAGCCTCAGGTGCTGTATTTTATATGGAGTTGAACTTGATAAGTAATTTGTAAATATCAAAATGTTTTAACCCAAAATCGGAACTAAGTGAAATAACAGAAATGGCTATAAAATGACGGAGACTAACATAATTATTGTAGATGAGATTCACGTAAGCAGACCGGAGGTCCTCGACACTGTCATTAATGATGTCAGCACGACAAGCCTCCGCTTCGTTGGCTCCGTACAAACCTGAAAGCAGACACACAAATAAACACACCTGACTTGTCTGTTCAAAGCTTACCTTAACTCATTCACCCCTGAAGACACATTTGAACTCTTCCAATCAAAGGTTGGAATAGTTCATTATGAAATTTCAGGGGTGAATGAGTTAATGATAATTTGTCAAAAACATAATTTGTCCTTCGCGTATCCGGTCCAACCGGTTTGTCAATTTTTAAATGTTACATTTTTGGGTATAAACCCTGGCAGACCTGCAATTGTTTATGCAGGCCTTGCAAGGCTTTGTCAAGGCTTGCATGAATGATGAAAGCAGCATCAGATTACTAGGTCCAACCTTATTTCATAAATGAACAACTTTGGTCTAACCGTTTGGATTGTGAGAAACAAATTCGGTCAGATCATCATAAAGTTTAGCACTGCAATCCACAGGCACACTCTTCATTAAAAATTACTGAAATTAAATAATTGTCTTGTTTGATCAAGTGATAACAATGTTTCATAAAAATCTATTGAAGGTTTTATGAACATTATTCAGAACATAATGTATATACCGGTATATAATTCAGAATCTTAAGCATGACCTTATTTATGAAGGATTTCACAAAAGGGGAAAAACTCCTTTAAAACAAGAGGCCTTAGGGCCTTAACAGTCACCTGAGTTATATTATAGGTAGTTTTAATTGTTGAGATGTGGAGTAGAAATCAGCATGTAACAAAGTTAACAAGAAGGAGCACCGCAAAAGTATGCATAATACGCCCATCTGACCCTATCCAATGATGTTTCGTTTGTTTGATATTTTAAGTACCTAATAAGGACAATAACACATGATCTGACTGAACTGTACACCACTGTAGAAACTTGCACCAAAACTTTAACCGAGAAATTGCGTGAGAAAAATAAAGTCCTAAACACGGCCACAATTTCCGTAAATAGAAATCACTTTTCCAAATTAAATCCATATGGTCCATGTTAGACCCCACATGAACATCCATGCCAGAAATTAGGACAAAAACACATGTTCTGACTGAACTGTAGAACACTGAAGAAACTTGCACCTAAACTTTAACCAAGAAATTGCACGAGAAAAGTCAAGTTCCAAACACGGCAAAAATTTCAAAAAAAATTAGAAATTATATCCCCAAATTAAATCCATATTGTCCTTCTTGGACCCCACATGACCATCCATGCCAAAAATTAGGACAATAACACATGATCTGACTGAACTGTAGAACACTGAAGAAAATTGCACCTAAACTTTAACCGGATGGATGCAAACGCTATACCATAATATGTGCGCCGAATTGGCGCATAAAAACTATTCAATTAAATTATTTTCCTCTTGAGATACATAATATCTATGTCATTTAGCCAATTTTCCCCATGGCCAACCCCTGGTGTATGCTAGGATCTTACTTTCCGATACTATTTAATTTCAATTTCATCGATCATTATTATTCCAACCAATTAAGTTTGAATCATTTCTTCCTGAATATGGACAAATTGTAGTCAAAAGTGTTATTTCCCTATACAGTAAAACACGTTTATTACAAACACGCTTATTGGGATTTCCTGTGTAATGCTAACTGATTCTGATTCCCCAGCTCATCTCCCTCTTCTATGTAATTGTATGATGATACATGTATTGCGAATTTTACATTGCCAATTATTGTATATTACAAAGCAATATACAATATTAGTTTACACACATCCTCGATACTCCAGGAGTTCGCTTTCGCTCTCTACAACCCTGGAATATGTCATAGCTAAATCTAAGGCACATGGCTAGCTATTTGATTGGTTTTGGGTAAAAAAAACCTGACCAATTGCTAGGCAGATACCTGTCCTCTGAAGAGCACAAAGGAGTGACACCCAACTTCAAAGCCAGTCTTTTGTACTCTTAAACGACCACCGACCAACGCAATATTCTTTTGATGTTCATCAAAGGATCAAACTAGTGTTCTTGTGGTGCACACTGAGCCTTCGATTTTGCTATAACATATTCCAGGGGTGCAGTGAGCATAACCCCTGGAATATCGAGGATAGTTTACACAAGGTNGCAATAGGTCACTTGAGCTAAAGCTCAGGTGACCTAAAAATACTTACTAAATTTCCTGGCCAGGTGTCTGATGATTGAGTTTGATTGAACAAGTGTCAAGTCACCATCCTTTAGACATGGGGTCTGTCCAAAAGCCTGTTTCAAATACATAATCAGGTTTACAATTTCGTTCTTAATCTTCTTTCTTTTTCATATATTTTGTGATTAACCCAATTCACCCCTGAAGAGTCTTCAGGGGTGAATGAGTTAATCACAAGACACATTTGAACTCTTCAAATTCAAAGGTTGGAATAGTTCATTATGAAATGTCGGGGTTGAATGAGTTGAAAGGTGCTTTGACTTTGGGAAAGAAAATGCCATGTGCAATAAAATTGAATACATTGGAAATGTAAGTACATTGTAGAAGATATAATTGATTAAAATGTTACTCATTGGTATAGAAACTTTAAATCATTAAATCTTCTTTAAATGGCATTAATTGAACTTGGTTTTATGTTAACTACAAGAGTGCAGTAAGATTGAAAAAATCTTGTACTGTGCAAGTCACAATTGAACCTTAACAAATCAAAGATTGGGCAAGTCCAGTTAAAATCTGTTAGGGTGAATGAGAGGGTTAATTTTTCAAACCTAATAACACTGACTTCACAAATTACGAATTCATGTGTTTTGTACCACAGCTATCTTCAGCTGTTGAATTGAAACAGAAACATGCAAAACCAAAGGATTAGGAACAAATTTCATTCAATATCATTACCAGTATGTACCAAACCACAGTATACAGAAAAATGATTTTTCATATATATTTTTGTATCATTGCAAAGTGTACAATTAAATTCAGACATAAATACAAGTGTCGATGGAAATAAAGGATTTCTTTTAAAGTTTGAATTTTAATCTTTCAAATAAACCAGAAATTTTCTCGAAATACTTTTGATTTAGTTATAATTGTAATTTTATTGATTAATGTATAAGCTAATTGTATTAATTGTATATCTATGTACTGTAAAGCGCTTTAGAGTGGCTTATTCTAGCTAGATAGGGCACTATATCAAAGGTTGTATATTTTCTTTGAGCCAGATTACCATTTTTGGTTTCCATTTGGAATCCCAGTCATTTGCACAGCTGGTTTCAGTGTAGCTTGTACCATTGTCAATCAGCATCAGCCTGATAACCTCAGCTCTGCCTAAAATAATATAATAGCAGAAAGATCTATTTTCAGACACTTGCCTGTTTGGTTGTGATGATAACCTACGATAAAAAATACTTAAATTTGAATGATACCAAATTTTGGTATTCATGTGTACATGTGTATTATTAATACTTGCCAACTTTTTGAAATTTCCATGGAGGAAATAATGCGTACTCACAATTAAAAACATGAATAAAATATGTGTATGAACATCCTAGATGGAAAAAAACCCCTTTCAAATGGTATCTTTTGAGCTGTTCTTTCGGATGAATAGATAAGCAAATTCACTAGTTGAAAATGCTCAATTTAAGGATCCAAAATCAGGAGTCTCGATCCTTCCAAATTAAGGAGAATGGCAAAGTACATTTATGACTATTTATACATATGTATAGAGAGAAAAGCCCTTGCATGCAAATTTAAATATTATTATTATTTGTGTGGCAAACCTTTCACTGGAAAGTAGATAAGTTCCATATTACTGAATCTGAAATATAAAAGAAATCATTTGAAATAATGATTTTGTAAAAGGGGAACAATTCCCATAAAATCGAGAGCTGTTGGAGAACAGCACAGCTCACCTATTTTGAAGCTAGAAAGTATCAATAGAAATAAATGTATCTTTTCCTTTTTTTTTAGGTTGCTGAATTGGTAGTTATTTTGAGCATATTTTTTTGTAATACAAGATGTATACAAAATATTTGCTACAGTGAAGTTACAGTGTCATAGATAAATGAGAATCAACATCTTCCTTCTATTGAATTCTGTTAATCTAAAGGATGACCGCTACACGCAACGCACAAACGGTAATACAATGACTAGTTAATAGATGTATATCCGAATATTCATTATAATGAAAGAACTTTGGAATTAATATTAAACAGAAACTTTGAAAGATGCATGGCCTCATAAAATGTACCATACAAAGTTGAACTGAATGTAATCCTTTTTGATCCCTAAAGTATGAAAATATGGTTACGTAAATTGTGTATACTCTATATCAATGCCTAAACCTTGTTATATTCAACTGTGCAACAGCTTTTATTAATTGAGTGTGGTAATCCACCACTGCACCAAGTCAAATTATGTTTGGTCCCTAAAATATGAAAATAATATGGTTCAGCACGTTGCTAACACTCCATCATCCTCGATACTCTAGTCTACGTTCACTTTCGTTCTCTGCACATCTGGAATATGTCATAGAAAAGTCACAAGACACTCCATATAAATGACGGTAGTCAACAGCCTATTGGGTGTGGCGATATAACATTATACAAAAACCTTTAACTTAAATCCTGCTCAAAAACTTTGACCAAGTCTGTTTTTGGCCTCTCAATTATCCTTCATCTATCAGAAATTTCAGGTTGATTGGTTGTTTTTTTATCAGCACAAGTGTTGTCTTAGATGGAACATCCCGACATTGGTTATTGGTTGATGATGAAATTCTGTTAATTTGTCAAATGATCTTGTCTGACATGGACATTGGACTTTCACTGGCACACATGTAACTTGCTTCTTTTTGGTGATTTGATAAGTGCAGCAAATATTATGTTGTCTTGATATATTCCATACCAACTACTGATTACTTTTAGGAAATTTATGGTTTACAACTTAATTAGGCCACAGACTTAGATAGCAATTCCGGGATTAGGCCAAAAAAAAAAACATGTCTGTTTTCTTATTTACATACATGTCTGGAAAAAACATGGGGTATGTAATATTTTTTTTCTCCAATTTTATTTTATTTCAAGTTAGATAGGACCAGAGACATAATATATATGACTAGGTCGGGTAACTGGGAACAAACCATATTGTACTGACAGAACTAAACCTGTTATTAAATGTGTAGGACTCTTTGAAACCACAGACTTATATAGCACTCATGTAACTTCCATGCTGAAAGTAACCGTGAATTTTCCAAAGACAATAGGTCTACAGAAAAAAGAAATTCCATGACCCTAGTCCACTTTCTGTCATTCAGTAAGTTACTATCAATACGTATCACATATGACTGTGGTTGATAATATTAGGAACATTCCAATATGGCTGCCATACCAAACTGTATATTAAATTCAATAATGCATTCTGTTAGCATTAAACAATCCCTGTCACAAAATAATAATCCTCCAATATTTCTCAAACATAATTAAGGTATTTGCATAATAAATTTCAGAAAAAGTATTCAATAAATGATGAAAAAAATCACTTTTTATGTGTCCATTTTCCAAGCGAAATAAAAGTCACAATTCAGGAAAAAAACAAACATTTAAACTTATAAATATCTGAATAAATCACAACTGAGCACAAAACAAACAAGGCTGACTGAGGTTGGAAAAAAGCATGCAAAGCAAGTGAGATTTTACCTGTACACCATTCACTAGAGGTTTTCACTCAGGTAATATGGCTTGACTTGTATCAAAAGTCTTGTTAGCTTGATGAATTATTGTAAAAATATCCAATCAAAATACATCTCATCATTTTCGAGATTTAAAGCATTTTCACACATTTTTCTCGACAAATGCATCTCCATGGACATCCAAGCTTATGATATTTACAAGTTTAAATGTGGGTTTTTTCCTGAATTGTGACTTTTACCACGGAATTAGATTAGATGTTATCCAAGTCCGTGCTTTTACTTGAGTTTTTTTTAACAGTTATTGAATGGGTTTTTTTCTGAAATTTAGTGTGCATGTACCTCAATTATGTTTGAGAATTATTGGAGGATTATTATTTTGTGACAGGGATTGTTTAATGCTAACGGAATGCATTATTGAATTTGATATAGTTTGGTGTGGCAGCCATATTGGAATGTCCTTAAAATTAAATTTGTTAGGTCCCCTTTTTGGGAATGGGGAATTCGAAGTGTAAGTGTCTTTAAATTTTACGTACGGAACGTATTTGATCATGCGACATTTGTATACTCCGGATTAAGTTTAAGCCTGAAATGCTCTATCGCACATCGTGGCCTAGGCCTCCATACACGAGATCGACACGTAATGTCGTCGAGCTAGTCAAACATGATGAAGTTACTCCGTATATCACAAAATAACGCCTCGTCTGCTATGATGCACATTACCTACGCATGCATTGTCGTACATGTTTCATACAATTGTACCTTGTCATGTTTGGAAAACGATATATACAGTAGCTTACCGGAAGTGTTGGCACAGCAAAGAGAACGGTATGCCGAGTAATTCGCCGTCTTCTTATATAATGTAAATAACTATGGAGAGGTGTACAGGCACACACGTGCGTTTGTAACCCGAACTGTACTTCCGGTAATGGAGATGCTGGCCGCTAGTTTTTATTATCTCCGGCTTGTTTATGGTCTAGTCCCAGAACAATTGAATTTAACGTGCTACTATAATATGTATTTCCTTTTGTATGTTAATTGGTACATGCCTTTATTCGAAAGGAATCAGTCTTCACTGCTCGAAGGACCCCTTGCACGCGTGATAATATGGAGGCGTTACCAGTTGAAAAAAATGGTTTAAACATTATTTTATTTCCTATTTTTGCACGTTCAACAAACTTTAAAAACATAGAAAAAGAGGATTGGAAAACATCATAATTCCTCTCCTCTATTTGACATTACGACACAGTCTATATGGATATTTGCAACGTATATATTAATAATGACAGATGGACAAAACGGTAACGGGCGAGATATGGAGATGTATTTATTTTTAAAGAATGCATATAGCACATCGGATGTAAGCTGTTGAAGATCAAGTCACGTACGGCGAGAAATATTTCAGAATTTTCCCTATCATTTAATTCATGATCCCCAACAAAAAAGTGTACATCTTCTTTCTGGATCCGCCCTGATAAGACGCTGTACGATCGTACTTCAACTCAAGATTTTTCCAGAATTCGTCTAAGTTTTTCTCAAAGTCAAATACGTTACGAGATGAAAGAACATCTTGTGTGAGACTATTCCAGATATCAATTATTATTTTCCTTGAGCGGCGAGATCGACCAACCCTCATTCATTTGCCTTTTGATGTGTTTGGGAAAGGAATTGTTATAAGCTCCAAGCTTGTTTTCCAATCCCATATTTATATTTGTATGTAAAGTCGAACAAGCACAAGAGTTCATTGGTGTTTATTACTTGTCCAGTAGATAAACCTAAAATACAATATATGAGTCGAACTAAGTACGAAACTAACAGGTCCAGTACATACGCCGATTGAGCGATATAGCTATAAAGACCTATATAGCTATATACACCTATAAATTATAGCTGTATTGAGCTATATTTCCTCAGATTTCAAATTTAATTAAATTGAAGCAAAGTCGCATAAAACAATAAGGTTAATAGTAATGTTGACTACAAAAAGCATACATTTAGATGTTTATTTTCATTTTTCATAAATGTAAAATTTCCGATTTCTTTACATTATTATTTTTTAAAAAGAATACTTATATGTAATGTCTTTTGTTTTGAACCTAATGATACAATCTTCTTTTAAATGCGACTTTGTTCCGTTTTCCTTAAAAAAAAAAATCACTTGAAAATAGCTCAAAAGACCTATTTCAGATAGGGCAATAGAGCTATTATAGGTCTTTACAGCTATATAGCTTAATCGGCAGAGTGTACTGGACCTGCTTATCAGATATTGTTATGAACAACTTAGTGTCATCAGCAAACATGAAGGTTGGCGAAGATGTGCTCTCCGGTAGGTCGTTAATGTATATGACGAAAAGTATTTGACCTAGCACACTACCTTGAGGTTTCCATTACAATGACTGTGTGTTCTGCTGACGATGTCCCATTTACAATCACTCTCTGTTTCCGAAAAACTTTGAGAAATGGCTTCTGTGGAAAACCCACAAGAACAACGTGATGAGTCTACAAGGTTTTTATGAAATAGATGTTCGTTGAGTAAGCTACATTTGAGTCGGAGTCTAGAGTGAAATATTTGACCTTTGCGATTACCTGCATTGGAGTGTTTGTTGCATTGCCATTGCTAAGATAAGTTTTGAGTGTATAAACTGATGAAATTTCTCTTATATTTTGGGGTAACTTGTTCCAAAGGGCAATCGATGAGGGTAAAAAGGAGTCTTTATATATACGCTCACTTTCGCTCTCAGCTGCACCCCTGGGATATGTCATAGCAAAATTGAAGGCGCAGTGTGCGCCACCTTGTCGATAAGAAAAGAAGACTACATGTATTTCGATCCTTTGATGTACATCACAAGAATCTCGCGGTCGTGAAACAGTTAAATTGACTGACTTTGAAGTAGAGTGTCGCTCCTTTGTCATCATCAAAGGACAGCTATCAGCATAGCGATTGGTCAGGAGCTGTCTTAGTGGCTTCAATTTTGCTATGGCATATTCCAGGGGTGCAGAGAGCGATAATGAGCGTAACCCCTGGAGTATCCGTGATGTACGTTCTTTAGATCAGGATTTTCGACAGTGAAAGTGACGGAAGGTGTTTAACTGATTCATTGATTAATTCTTTGTTTAACAGACACCTTGAGTAGCCGTTTAATGGACTGCATCGGAGTTGATACACCGGGGCAGAGACGTATACACTTCACATATGGCTGTATATGTCTCTGATCGGGACAATTATCTTATCTTATCTCCCGTATACTCAATCCATATGGTATCGTTTAGAATTAAAATACGTTTGAACTCAACTAAAATCTCGTAAATAATTTTGTTATATTAACGTATTGTGGCAGATTTTAATTGTACATAGGATTACGGTCGCCTTCTAGCTTGGCGCTGAGGAAATTTATATGGTAGAGCGTCCGTCCAGGAAGTTGGTGGTCGCGGGTTCGATCCCCGGCGGAATCGCACTACTCTCTTTCCTGTTAAAGTAATAACAACGAACGTAGATGACTTTTCTTCCATGTTTCATTTCTTAGTTTTCAAAGGTAAACCAATACTGAACATGTACATGTACTAAAGATCACAATTATACGGATCCCTGTCCCATTGTACTGTGGTTTTCCCTAAATGCAGTTACCTCCCCAACTTCCGTTCGGAAAGCTGTAGCACAGTTAATTGGGCAAGAATACAACCGGAGATGGTACAATCGGGAACCGTCGGCACTTTCCGTAAACGTGAATATTTTACGGAAAGTTTCGACGCTTCCGATTGAGAGATTGTATAATAAAGTCCATGATTCGATTATGGTCTTACCCTGCTTAATGTCTACACTCAGAACACTGTTGTTGATTATTATTTATTTTATTTTTTTCGTTTTAATTATTTTTGTTTCTCATAAAAATTCGGAAGGTATGGTTTTCTTTTCAGAAATGATTAATTAAAGCTGTAGTCATGTCAGAAAAAAAGAGTTTCAAGAACTTAGCTACACTAATGGATTGTTGCCTGAAGTCTGATTCATAAGCTCTTTGAGGTAAAGCAAGAAAGCAAATATTGTGATATTACTCATAATAACTGTGTCCGATATATGTCTTCACAATATCCCTGTTCAATGTAAACGTTATTATTTTACGACAGTTATGAAAGCTTTTTAACTTATAAAAATGTATATGAACCATTTTTGATGGCGCGTATCGCAGAGTGTAGGAGGTGGAAATATGAAAAGAAATTGGGGTACCAGGAGAAAACTAACGTGGTCGGGCAGGTGACCCAATACCTTTTCACGTGACCCCGGTCGTCTTGAATTGTGACAGGTGACTGAGCTATGAACTACGAAACCCGACAACCCACTATCTCAATTTCTTCCTTTTCTCCTATCTGAACTATAATTCTATATTAATGTCGTATTTGCATGCTCAAAAAGTGTATTAAATTAGCTCCAACATTACCTATCGTCACAACTCGGCAGATTCCGTACCTACACGAAGAAGGATTCCGGAATCAGCCGATGTTAGCCGAATGCAACATTGCGTGATGTGTATTTTAAACACATATTTGTTGCTGAAGAGGACTATGATAAGTTATGTTCGACTGGTTTGCGAAATATTTTGCAATACTGTTTAAATAATCAGAATTTCGTGTATCATAGGGCGATCGGTATAAGACAATTTGTACTTCCACACGTGCTTCAATAGATCATAAATTATCTCCCTTCTTTTTAAACCAAATCTTTGAATGATAAAGATATCTTTGGCAACATTGTCTAAATCTTGCCACTGGACGTTATGCATTTCACACAGTCCGCGCTGTAGTTTAAACCCGTAAGGTACTGATTGTTGAATCTATAACTCAAGATTTTTATTAAAACCTATCCGAAGGTGGCAAGCGTGACCGTATTGTGTTTGAGGCTTATCACGAAATTGTCTTTAAAAAACCAGACCTTGGAACACTGGTTCATTTGTGCACGTATATAAACGGGGAATGCATTGACTGCCCCTAAAACAAAGACGCTACCCAGGGACCATTGTGTGCACTCTACAAACCACCGGTATTACAAACTCGAAATATACATGGACAAGTTACAAAAATCAAGCTCCGTCATCTTTAAAATATATGAATAAAAGTTATTATATTATTCATTCATCATTTTTGTTTACTTTTGACTTTTGATTGGTAATTTAATATTGGAAATAACAGAAATAGAATTGTATTACATATTATTTTTGGTAAACGTTATGAAATATGTTTAAGCAAACGTTACCAAAATGTTTCTATTTCGTCTCCAAGTTGACAAGGTATATGAAGGCTTGGTCTGCCACAGTATTTGATATTGCTACTAGTGTCTAATGTGACAGCTGTATTTAGACATTTATAAGTACAAATCGGTTCCATGTGCTAGCTTGGTCGTCTGTCTGACAAGATTTCTACAATCAACACCACAATTCCGTGGATTACTAAGACAAACGATTATGGCCGTGCAATGCAACACACTGTTATCGCGGTCCTAAAGCTGTTAAGTGGTCAGTATTCTCTCTTGGCCGGACAAATTAATGTTCCTTTTATCCTCAAACTTGACGTGGCAATATAAGAGAATATCCTCATTGATTGGCGGGCGATATTGGCAATGGATTTCGGAGTATGGATTCCTCTTACAGAGGATCAGGCGGATGAGGTCGGGGATGACATCACTTGTCGAAGTCTATCGTCTGCGCGTGAAAGTACAACGGATGTGAGAGGTGAGTATGTGTACATTAAGTGTGCTATCTGTTCGTAAAAGTACGATGGACGTCAAAATTTAAAGAGTACATGTGCCGTTAGGCAGGTGTCTGGTAAACATTATTTGTCAAGTCTGAAGTTGGGCAAGAAGAAACTCCCGGCTATTTGTTCCTAAAATACGGCAGCCAGCAGTGCTGTACATGTGTGCCTGTGAAAGTACGATAGCCGTCATGAGGGAAGGATACTTGTGCGTGTCGCCTGCTCATGAAAGTACGATGCATAGGCAAAGGAAGTGTTCGAATGTTTCGTCTGCCCATGAAAGCACGACAGACATCATTGGAGGTGAGTACATGTTTTTCTGCTCGTCAAAGTACGACGGACGTCAGAAAAGTCAAGTACATGTTTGGTCTGCTCGTGAAAGTGCGATGGACATCAGAAGAGGTCAAGTGCGTGTGTCGTTCTCGTGAAAGTACGGCTGACATCAGCAGAGGTAAGTATACGTGTGTCGTTTTCTCGTGAAAACACGACATACATCAGAAAAATGAAGTACATGTTTGGTCTGCTCGTGAAAGTACGATGGACACCAGAAGAGGTCAAGTGCGTGTGTCGTTCTCGTGAAAGGACGGCTGACATCAGCAGAGGTAAGTATACGTGTGTCGTTTTCTCGTGAAAACACGACAGACATCAGAAAAATGAAGTACATGTTTGGTCTGCTCGTGAAAATACGATGGACACCAGAAGAGGTCAAGTGCGTGTGTCGTTCTCGTGAAAGTACAAATGTACGGCTGACGTCAGAAGAGGTAAATATACGTGTGTCGTTTTCTCGTGAAAACACGACAGACATCAGAAAAATGAAGTACATGTTTGGTCTGCTCGTGAAAGTACGATGGACACCAGAAGAGGTCAAGTGCGTGTGTCGTTCTCGTGAAAGTACAAATGTACGGCTGACGTCAGAAGAGGTAAGTATATGTGTGTCGTTTGCTTGTGAAAACAAGATAGACATCAGAAAAATCAAGTACATGTTTGGTCTGCTCGTGAAAGTACGATGGACACCAGAAGAGGTCAAGTGCGTGTGCACGTGTTGTTCTCGGGAAAGTATAAGTGTCTCATCAGGCGAGTTAAGTAATTGTAAGGGTATCGTCTGCTTGTGAAAGTACGATGGAAACCAGAAGAGGTCTAGTACGTGTGTCGACCTCGTGAAAGGTTCGTATTTTGCCGTTCCGACGAGAGAGTTAGGAGAGTTTGGCTCATGGTTATCGTCAGGACGTAGCGGGCGGGTAACATGCTGTTATATGTCGCCGTTTATGAATGGTAAGTAAAGGTGTGGTTTAGGTAAAGTACATGTTTGGTGGGTTCTGGGAAAAGTTTGCTGCTCGGGAAAGTACTAAGAAAGTCGAGAGAGAGAAATCCATTATTAATTCGCCTCTAAAATTGTCATCTTATTTTATCATGTATATCGTCTGCTAATTCATCAGATTCAGATCTACAGGGACAGATACTTATCGCAGTAATTCTATTGACCTGATACATGTGTCGTTTGCTCTAGAAGTTATACGCTGGACAACGGGACAGCAAAACTGCAGTCGATAAAGCTCACTTTAAATCACAGCAAATAATTCCATTGATGAAAAAACACTAAATGGCAGCATGCCCAAAAACGGCACACGAAGGAAGGTAATGGGTACAGTCTTTTCGTCCATTATCCTGTCATAAAATTACATTTTTTCTTTAAATTATTAGTTAATATCCAATTAAATTACTTTTAAGATCTGTATAATTTAGTGACGGGAAATTTAATACTATTTTGTGGCAGTGGTTTTTAAAACTCACGTTCGCAATTTGAGACGTCGAGTTAATTTTATTTTAAAGTGTCGTTATGCTTAAAAAGTTCTTGTCAGCTTAAAAGCGATTCGTACTATAAATATTTAGAGTAATACAGGAAAACATCATTCGTTCCTTTCGACGACAGTCAAGATGACATACCCTTTGATAAATATGAATCCTATAATGAATTTTAGAAGACAATCGTCCTAGAACAAACAAGTAATGAACCATATATACAAATTTCCTCCAGTGTGACAGCGCCGCGGGAGTGATGTATCAGACTCGGGTAAGAATATACTTTAGTTCTTTATAATTGGTCCCGAAGTCTATTAACCGAATTAAAACGGTCAATAGCTGACGATTTTGTCATCAAATTGGTAAGTATTTTTTTTTTTAAAGATTTACAAGTTTTCACAAAGTATTGGAACAGCGTGTAAGAACAGTAATGTGTGATCTGTCCATGGCGAGCTGGGACAGTAAAATTTTATCTATCCACGACGAGTAATGAACGACTTAGAAAACACATTTAGTTTCGTTACCGTGAGTAAATCGGGAAATACATAAATGCTTTAATCGTAAAACGTATCGACTTTTATAAGAATCGCGAACATAATAAAGTCGGTATCAGATCCGCGCTATCACAAGGAAACACGTACACCAACATACCCGGTCTCCAGCACACATACACACATGCACGTATCCATAACATACACGGATGCACGTTCTTAAATGATTTAAGCTTTTAATATGACGTTAAACAAAATAAAACCAAACCAAACAGAATGAAATCAACCACCCTTTTTGATTATATCTACAGTTGAACTATATTTGATTCCATCAGCGCATAGGGATCATTCGATTTGAAATAAGTAGGTTTCATATAACAAAACCTCAGTGAGAAGTGTATGGAAAAGAGACTGCTGTCAGATTTGCTTAGTTTAGATTGGCATAAACTCCGCAGCTTTGTGACGTCATACAGTACCTCATCTTTTACCTTTGTGACGTCACGCTTCACATGACGTCAGAATCATCATGTTACCACGCAACTGGTTGATTGTTTCAGCACTTACTCCCCATGTCGGCTCGAAGTCGATGGAGAATGACGCCGAGGTTCCGCTCCACCGTTTGCGGTGCCTGCGTGGTCTGGGGAAGGCCGGGTTTATACCTATGGGGCCAAAGTTTCAAGGTAAGGGCCGATTTGTCTTTCCTTTGTTGGTGCGGAATGGCTATGAACATTATATAGTTTGTTCCACTTGGGTCAGTAGCGTTTTAATAGCTTCGAGATAGAACTGACGAGTTTAATGAACACGACAATATTCTCCCACAAAGATTAATTGTAGCCTTTGTGTATCTTTTTAACGCAAACAGGCGTTTTTAGTTTGATTTTTCAAAAAGTGAGAGCAAAATTATCTTTTGGTATTCTTTGGAATTCATTGTGACAAATAGCAAGACTATGTTATGGTTGCCATACGTCTTTGATCATATTGTAATTAACGAGTGAGGTCCTTTGAGTTAACCTAACGGCCAACATTACAGTACAGTTAAATAGTATTTCGAGAGTGGCAACAAAATTATTTAGAAAGAGAGATACACCGAAAAAATTACAAAAATCTATGCTCTATAGCCCTTCTTCTTCCTGATACGAGTCGTACTCCGCTTGAGTGTAATTGACTCGGTGCAGCTCAAGACGATATGACGCCTCCAATTAAAACAGGGTAAAAGAGAAATCCGATTTTAATCTAAAAATAAATAAAGCTATGTACACTGGGTTAGTGGTGTTTATACTAGATTTGGTATGAATTAGTATAACTGGCGCCAGGGGATGGTACTCAACCTGGCCTTGAAGTCTATCAATGATGTTGCCTCCACTGAATTAGTATGACTGGGGCCAGGGGATGGTACTCAACCTGGCCTTGAAGTCTATCAATGATGTTGCCTCCACTGAATTAGTATGACTGGGGCCAGGGGATGGTACTCAACCTGGCCTTGAAGTCTATCAATGATGTTGCCTCCACTGAATTAGTATGACTGGGGCCAGGGGATGGTACTCAACCTGGCCTTGAAGTCTATCAATGATGTTGCCTCCACTGAATTAGTATGACTGGGGCCAGGGGATGGTACTCAACCTGGCCTTGAAGTCTATCAATGATGTTGCCTCCACTGAATTAGTATGACTGGGGCCAGGGGATGGTACTCAAACTGGCCTTGAAGTCTATCAATGATGTTGCCTCCACTACTTACACTTTTGAGACGACCCCTCAAACGTCCGATGTTAGAATATTGTATTGTTGGAAACTAGAAGCACTACTTCACCTAGAAGTGATTCTTTATTATCGAATGAAGGCAAAAAAGATACCACGAATTAAAAAAAATATATTTCGAAAAATATCTATAGAATAGCTATTAAAACGTTAGAGATGCTGGTTGCCTTTTATGTATGGTTCCGAGACATTGCAATATGTCTCCATAGTTACGGTATACGCATATTTTATGTTATGTGATGTTTTTCGTCTATTATTTAAACCCAATCCTTGTTATATGTTACATGTCGCAATGGTTACGGTATACGTTACAAGTAGGTTTTGTGTTATGACGTCATGGTATTTGTCAGTTATTGTTTCATGGTAACGGTTGTGTATTTGTTTCAGACGTGGCTATCCGCTACATACCCAGTAAGTACTTGTTGTCATGGTTACTTACTAACATTTGTCTTGTGACTTTGCTTGGTTTTCTCTCTTAACCCTTTAGCGTTTAGCGAACCACTGTGAATCGCTCTGTCCGGCTATAGTATACTAAGACCTTGATAGTGTAAAGTATTTTACGGTTATTGTGCTATAGTTTTCCAGTGACGTTTCAATATCAGGAGTGTCATTTGAAATAGAAATCCAAAAGGAGCAGAACACGTTCACAACCTGCAACATACACGGACATGTCGCTACGGCAATATAACCGAGTGTGCTGGTTATCGTATACTAAACCCGGCAGCCTAGAGGTCAAGAATAACCCTCTCTGACCATAAAGGCACACATAAGCAATCATTTGTTTTGTTTACCTTTTGTCAGTCACTATATTTCTAAAAAAAAAAATCATACATGGTAAGACATTCAAATCTTCTCTATCAAAAAAATCGTAGATTTTTTACGGGTCTTTAGTATGAATACATATCAGTGTCGTAATATACACTTATTATGGCATTAAAGCCGATCATACGGTCGTCCCACCAATCGGGAACCGTCGGCACTTTCTGTAAACGAGAAAATGATAAATGTGCTGTCGGATCCCAATTGGTCGTCCCACCATGGTTAGTCATTCATAACAACACGGGCCTGGGCGGGCACTACCATTGACAAGATCCGAGTTTCACCGAAAGCACTATTCGAGGTGCCTCCGGATTTCAAAAGCGTATAAAATCCTCGGTATCTTTAAAACTGAGACTGGTACATATTGTTTGTTATATGACAAGCAGATATTTATTGTAGCTAATCAAACACTTGAAGAGGTACTGATAACTTTTAGGTATTTCATGTTTCTAGTTTTGGAGTTTTGGAATAATATTATTTTAACAGTAAACTACATATAATTGGCCAATATTGATATTATACATTAATATTGATATTATCCTTCGTGATTTAAGAATAGGATTGATATTATCCATTGTATGCTGATATTGATAATATCCGTTTTATGTTAAGATTGATAATATCCATATCCGCCCTAATTAAGTCATGATTTATATTCTTACTACTCTCTGCACCACGTTTTCAAATAACGGTACCGATTGTCTTAAGGATCGCTTCAAAATGTTCTTTGTATAAAACATAAATCACTGAATCTCTCACAGACAATACAACCCTTCACTTAGAGCTTACCCAGAATTTACAATAAGTATATAAATGCTTATAACTAAAACAAATGCCTCCAATTCGGACATTCTAACCCGTGTTTACCTGGCTCAATATACTTAATATTGATGCCCCAAGTTCTTGTATTTACGAGGAACGTTAATTACTGTCAAAAGCAGAAACAGAACCAATAGGAATTATAAAGATTTAATTATCACATTGCGTTTCAACATTTTCAGACAATTGTATACTCAATCACTGTATATTTACTATGCAAGAAAGGTTTTCTAGCTCTGGAATGACGTTTACGACCGTTCATTAAAATAAGTTAACACTTTCCATTTCATTAACCAAAACATTCATGTAGATAAATTGAATTAAAGGAAAGACTCGTTATTTTGTTTTCTATGAAAACGTTTAAGTACGAATCCTTAACACGAGCCGACTTTCTTGTTACTCGCTTAAATCACGTGATACATTAAAAAAGAAGTTTTAAACTGAAAAGAAAAAAGAATTGGGCTTTGCTTCTCGAAATTTCTTCCAAGTCATCGAAACAATGTGGTAATGATAAAGTTATCACCGGGATAGAGAATATTGGACTTGGGTACAGAATCTGAGTTTGAGAACAGTTTCATGATAATCGGCCAATCAATGGTCAACAGCACAAATAATCCCGAATAACAAAAGTTTGATAAGGATTGAAACCAGACCTGATTTCTAAGTTAGTATCAGCAATAAAGGATCCCTGTCCCATTACACTATGGTTTTTCGTGTAAACAGTAGCATCCCCTTAATTTTCTTCTTTAGCAGAGATTGGTCATGACATTCAATTGGCGGTTTAGTTAGAGCGACAAAAGTTCTATAACAATCTGAAGTCCAGGGTTCGAACCCCGGTGTATCATCCGCTGATACTTTTACAATCAGAAAACTGTCGTTTGTTATATTTTGTATATCTAACCATCATATTTTTTCATCAAATCCTGTCAGATATCAAGCTGATTGATCAAAGCTATAGTCTTGCCGAAAAACTCAGCTAAAAGCAAAAGACTGTATCCAAAGCAAAGTTGGCAATGGTACATTGTACGGGGATCCTTAAACGGAAAAGGCCGTTCAACTCAGTTTCACTTAAAATAATATTTTTATTGGAAAATGTACCTTCGTCAAGATTCATCAATTTTTGACTGTGTCTTACAATCATAATGCTTTCACTCGTTTTATACCTATGTTAATAAACTTTGATATTTGTTTTATTTCAAGAACCGAAGTACCGATGGGCTGTAGAGAACTATGTCAAACAAGGACTGGACGAACACCCGGGCCGGAAGCAGGTTCCATTCTTTCTACGTAGGTCCAAAACTGTGCAGGTGATTCAAAACAAACCATTCCAGCGTTTCTTTACGCAGCTAGACTTGAACGCAACACCAAATCCTCACACAGATCGAGATCGGTCAGAAATCCTTAGTCGGAGGAACAAAAACAAAAATGACAGACGGTTTTCTCTCTCGTTTGTTTATAAACCAGCGCCATATACAGGAAGCCTTAAAAAACCAAACACGGACCGGCCGTTGCTGAGGAGACCGACTCCACTTCGGACCCCACCCGTGCAGGAAACGGACTCCCAGTTCAAACATTTCACAAAAAGTTTAGAATTGAAACCGAAAAACTTTGCCACATCAACAGAACAAGACATTTTCTACAATAAGAATTATCCTCTATTATTGGACACTCATCCGGAAGAAGAGGCTGCTGCATTACCGCGCAAGCGCACACCGACACCGGAAATATGTTTCACACCAGAAATGAAACGTGGTATGACAATAACATCAAGAATTCAAAATTTGAAAACGGAAATAGACACCCTCGATCAAGAAACCGATGGCATTGACTTCCGAACGGTATTGAGAGATGACGCGTTCGATCCTGCCGTCTGGCCTTGGAATAAGGGCAGATCGAGTTACAGGATTCCATCATCTTCTAATGAGCATTTGCAGCGTCAACGTCCGAAATCCCCAAGCCCAATGTCTGTTAGTACCCTCCCTAAAAATAGAACACCGACCTCTTTCTCTCCCGGACGATCTTTGTCACCATATTAGCCAGGTGAATTGCCAGAAAAATCGCCTACACAACACAAGTTGTTAAGCCAATCGGATTAACATGTCTCGCCTATGCCTACACAACCATTTTGTTGGTCAAATTATCATAGGAGAACCCTGTAAATCCAAATGAAAATTATGCATGCAATACCTTTTGTCAAAAGATGTTTCCAAATAACAATTATTATCTCCACAACTGTGTCGAAGAGCTTGAAAGTGAATCTATACCTATATGAAGCAGCTTTTGATATGTCATAGCTAAGACATCGAGCTCTGTCATTTGACCCAAGGAACCATGAAGGATTTTCAATTCGTTTGAAAACTCACAAATAAGGGGAAATAACTCTTTTATGTGTCTCTCGTTTCTCGTCAGAAGGCCATCCAGCTTGCGAAAATTAAATGGATTGGTTAGTAGGACGTAAATGATCACATGTAGACGTGGTTATGTTGACAATATTTCTCTCGCCTGTGCTATATTTGTAAGCACCATTTAACCGCCCAGTGATGAATGTATCATATAAACAAAAAATAAATAACCAGAAAATAACAATGACTTCATATTGATATGTTTTGTATAGTTATCTTGTTATTACTTAATAACCTTGACCAGAAACGTGTGGTATTGCATTTCAACTGACATCCGGAGATCACTATCACTTATAATGATGTGAAGTTTCATTCATGAAGTTATCAAACATTTTAGACAGGGAGCTGCTGACTCGCCAAATGTTATCAGACGGGCAATTAGCTATAGGGTAATGCCCATAAAGACTACACTAATGTGGCGAGCGTCTAAAATTACTTTTTCCCCCAAGACGCTGTGCAATTTTCCCCGTCTATTTTATCTGTATGCTCAACCTACAGGGGATCATTGCCTTCATTGTTCATATCCAATTCCCTTGGCCTAGGGATGCTCGATACCTCATAGTGTAAATAAATGATAAAAACATGAACTTTCGGCTGTATGAAATATTATTTATTAAAATACTGTATAAGTTGTATTGCCGCTGCAAGGTTTTACTTGTTTTAACAAAATTAACCATAGATGTGTGGTGTGAACATGCAATATCAAAGGCTATAATGCAAAACAAGACAATACAATGCGATACAATACAAAATATACAATAGTTTCATCTAATTACTTCTCTCTATTCATATACTGTTATAACTCAATACAAGCAATTCAGGTACCAAGTTATGACGTAATACATATATCAAATTACATTTATATTTCTTGCACAAATGCAGTATATTAGAAGAACTATTTCTCCTTAGTTGATAGGTTCATTATAACGTGTAAATATATATCTTAATTAAAAAAAGACAATATCGGTGTTATACATACAATTTCCACTGATGCGACAAGAATATAAAAAAAGTGTTTCAACTTCACGATATATTTGAGCTCTGTAATAATGTCATGATAATTTATTTTAAATCCCAGGATGCAACAGGCCAAAACTATGACTTAAGCTTTTTATTCAGTAGTAGTTTATATCCCAATGTTTCAACGAATTTTACCAATACAACCTTTAAAGTGGAACAGGGTCATTCACTCGAAAACAATCACCAGTCATCCAGCTGTGCATGCTACATTACAAACATCATGCCACTAGATCTCTTGGTAATTCAGAAAAATCATTTAAAGATCTACACACATTTGACATCTGTGACCTCAATTGCTGATTAAATGGTTTCATCCAAGGAAGTTTTAGTTCTTCAAAAGAAGTCAATTGAAGCGTTTTGACAACGTCGAAAACACCTGTCCCAGACATGGTACTAGCCAAATATCACCAACTGCGTTTTGTTTATTCAAAAGTCGTTTAAAGGTTTTAACAAATTGACTACTGTCACCTTGAAAATGTGGCAAAGTAATTTGTTTTATAAAACCTGAAGTCAAGTAAAGGTTTCAAAGACTCGTGTCACTTTGAAGATGATCGAGGTAACTCGTTTAATCAACCTTGAACATCCCTTCCTCCAAGCATGTCACTGGCCAAATTTCATCATCATAAACCTTTTAGTTATTCAGAAGAATTTATCTTAATATTTCAACTTGAACCCTGTGACCATGAAAGTTGGTTAAGGTCAGTTGTTTGAACAAACTTGAAAGCCCTTCACATTAACATGCTTCTGGACAAATTATGTTTCACAAAGACCTTTTGGATATTCAGAAGAAGTGATTTTATTATTTTAAATTGACCCATGCGGCCGTTTAAGTTTGTCAAAATTATGCTACTGGCCAAATATTACCATCTAGACCTCTTTGTAATTCAGAAGAAGTCGCTGGAACTAGAAAGTTGACCCCGGACGGAAGGACTACGGTCGCCGCATCACGGCATACGCTATCTTTAGACTTTAAGTTAAGTGAGCTAATGATTTAAAAAAACGGTTAAGATATTATTCGTAATTGTTTAATCATCACGAGACAATTATCTATAGACGAAAATGATAATTTTACATAAGAGAAATACATTTTTCATAACATGCAAGTTATAACTCAATAGCAGCTTATTACTGTATAAGTAAATATTTCGCGTGGAGTAAATAAACTCGAAAAGATCTTAATAATCATTGCCAACGCGAAATTTTCCACACCGCGACCTGTTTATAGAGTCATAACGCGAACATTTCCACAATCAAAAGTAAATCTATTTTCGCAGTATTATCATTTCATTTTAAATATATAATGAATATGGTACAACAGAGCACAATGTATATGAGTAACGAACAGGTACAGACTTTGTAATTCGAGTCTATGTAAAACTAATTATACAACTTAACCTTGTCCTTTGCCAATCTGTTTCACTTGTATTGATGGCCCCTATCCCTCTACTCATCCTCGAAACTCCAGGGATAATAATAAAAATATTAATAGTCTTTATTTAAACTTGATTACATATTGAGTCAAAGACTCGTCTCCCATATGGTCAAGCATATTAAAAAATGTACATTATACACACCAGTTATGTTTATGGATTATGTTCACTTTCGCTCTCTGCACCCCTGCATGTTAAAGCAAACTTCATCGTTTACGCGACACTGACAGATTCTTTTCATGTACATCAAAGGACCAAACTAGTCTTCTCGTCTCATCCACAAGATGGTGCACATTCAGCCTTCGATTTTGTTACGACATAGTCTAGGGGTACAGAGAGAGAGAGAGAGAGAAAGGGTGTGTAACCCCTGGGGTATCGAAGGTGCCCTCTACTCTGAATACTTTGTTTATACAATATTTAGTCTACTTGACAAAGGGACCCTTTAAATTGAACTACATTAAAATCACAACATTACTGTATAAGAAGTAGGCATTAAAACATTGATCTCTATTTTCCCTACTGTGGCCCAGCTCCATTTTTTTTTTTTATGATTGATTTCTAGACTTAAAATTATGTCTCCATTTATCACGGTACATTAATCAAGGACATTATTAAATTCCAAAAACATATTTTTGGAAACCTTGTGATGTTTTCTACGCATGCTACTTAGAATGACTAAATATGCAAATCAATAGTAAACAATAACAACAATGTTTGTGATGCTTCAATACTTTTTAAACCTGCCCAAGTGAACAGTTTTTCATATCCTTAAAGTCCGGCAGAATTCGCCTTTCCCTGAAAAGGAAGAGAGCTTTAAACAAACAAATACGGCGAATTCGACAAAAGCCAAGGTCGACAAACGTTCCATTAACTCATATCTATAAGAAGACGCCCCTTAAAAATGTTTTAAATGGGCGCTAATAAGACAAGTAAACTTATAAACTTCATTATAATAGTAAAATATCCTCAAACGCGCATAAATTTAGTAATTCGATTCTTAGAGCAATGCTATATATCCTTGTTGGACCTGGTCTGTTTCAAATGTCATGTCAATATAGGAATCTTTAACTCGAACTAGGTAATCCTTTCGTTCGTATTCCTAATATATCCCTTGATGGTCTCATCCAATTACCCCGAGTCATTCGTTTATACACTATTTAAACCACTTGACAAAGAGGTCTTTTATAACTTTCCAGATGTATATCACTACATGTACTGAAGTAGAAGGCATTTAAACATTTATCACTATTTCTCCTTTTCGGTCCTGGTCAATTATATATACGTTCGAATTCCAGATCAGTTGGTTTTTAAATCAAATACAAATTTAAACAAGGTAAATTATTTGATATGTTATGTAATGTAAAAATGTATTAACACCCTAATTATTTAACTGGAAACAACATTTACATGTACCATAAACAATAACAATACATGATAATTAGAACGACTAGATATGCACACATCAAAAATGTATAAAACTATATTCACAATTGTCACTCCTTTAAGGTATGTAAGATGAAATATCCCAACAACGGTGGTTAGTGCTGGGTACGACTGGCACAAATATAAACAAAGCTCTTTGTGTCCCCACCTATAACTCATATGTAACACCGTATTCCCGTAATTATTCACTACCTGAGACATATACTGTGCGCACGCACAACTCCTATGAACCACACGACCATCTACTGACTCGCATTTGTGTTGCTCACTCTCAGCTCTATGTAATGATTTATGTATAGTTTTCTCCACTGTCTGAAACATAGAACAGTTTCCTGTCACCGCCACAACAAGGAGCGGGGTTAGTCCTAACCAACCAGGGTCATGGGCCAAATGTTGGTATGTGTCACACAATATGGTCACCATCCCTCCTCTCTCATACAAACACGAATGGTACAGAACATTGTTATTGTAATCATCTCTTGCTGTTGGAGTGACGTCATACAGAAGAAGTTTACTTAACACCTTCTTACTACCTCTCTCTACCACATAAAACGGTGTCTCGTTGTCAGGTTGCACATCCATAGACAAGAGATTAGAAGCACATTCTTCTGTTCCATTAGAACATGCTTTGTTTAACATGTCACGTCTTGTCTCTTTATTAAGGTATACATAAACTCTCTCTAGTCTCCCCCAATCTCCTTTAAACCTCTCGATGCTAATCAATGACCACAATTTGGTGTGCTTGTTAGGTTTTACACCTTTAGATAGAATAAATATAGCACATTCTAATGAATCAGCAGAGCATGCGTAATTCAACAAGGCAAGTTTAATATAATCATTAAGATCATCGATGATTTTTTTCAGAACTTTCAAGCTTCTTCCATCCACAATGCGAAACGGAGTGTCTCTGTCATGTTTTACACCCTCCCGTAGAAGGTAAAAAGCACATTCTTCTGCACCGTAAGCACATGCTTTGTTCAACAAAGCAAGTTTATCAACTTTTTTTATCATTCAACAAAATGACGAATTGTTTAACGAATTGTTTATCATTCCATACATCTAAAGAGGCAATGATAGCACCATAATCATATCCTTTGATTTCAAACTCTCTAATCAGACGTAACTGTTTCTGATTATTATTGTAATGAATAGCTATGGTAACTGTTACTGATTAGTATTGTAATGGAGAGCGATGGTAACTGTTACTGATTAGTATTGTAATGAATAGATATGGTAACTGTTACTGATTATTATTGTAATGTAGAGCTGTGATAACTGTTACTGATTAGTATTGTAATGGAGAGCTATGGTAACTGTTACTGATTATTATTGTAATGGAGAGCTATGGTAACTGTTACTGATAATTATTGTAATGTAGAGCTGTGATAACTGTTACTGATTAGTATTGTAATGAAGGCTATGGTAACTGTTACTGATTAGTATTGTAATGAATAGATATGGTAACTGTTACTGATTAGTGTTGTAATGGAGAGCTATGG